CCTCAATAAGACAAAACTACCGTTTAATTGTAGTGGCCATACATGGTTTCAAAATTGGGTAGATTGCGATGATATATAAGCCACTTTGGCTTCAGCGAAGGGGGTTTGGTGCCACCATGGCGCCTTCAGAGGCTGTGAGTAAAGCGTTAGAGAAAGCTGCCAAAAGAGCAGCACAAGCAGCTGCTGATGATACATTAGGTCTCACCTCTGAAAACCCTGACTCTGCAAAGAATCATGGTATTGAGAAGAAGCTGCAAGAAGCCAAAGACAAATCAAGGCCATTCTCCATGGATATCTACATTGGGGGTTTTTATTACTGCCACAGAATGTACTCTTTGCATTTAAAGCATCCAACAAAAAAACAAATTGTGATCAAAATACCAACCACCGGATATTTTGTGGTTTGTTGCTCTTTATGATTGCCCACCACCCTGTCACGCCTTCGGGCCGGCAGGCTGCGTTCTGAAAATCCCGCACACACTGACAGGATGGAACAAGACCTGCGTGCGCTAAAGGCAGATCAGGAAGGAGCTGCCAGGGGTGGGCTGCATGTTTTATTATACTTAATCAACTACGCTTTGATGATGTTCTATCCATGCATCATGAGGGGTATTATCTCTATCAAATATCATCAAAATAGATACAATCCCGGTCAATGAGTGTTTAGTATCATGTAATAAACATCTCAATATTGATCTTATAATCACAGAACCACATGATTCTGAGCACCTCTCAATATGTATTATTTATAATATATATATTTTAAAATATTATTTACACTATAATAAATTATCAAATATAATATATATACCTCCGAGCCCTCAATCCCAGATGAGATAAACCGAGCTATCAAAATGGTTGATAGAGTGCTCACACCGGCTCTGGCGCCTTCCAGGACCATCAAGTTCAGCTGGGCCTGTCACAAAGTCCAAAGCAAAGCTTCCCAGGGCTAAGAGCTCGAATGCACTTGCCACACCGACTAGAAGTGGAGGTTCTAGGTTGGCTCGGGCTTCGAAGGGGCTGGATGGTGCTGGTAGGTCCCCCACTGAATACTATTCACCGGGAAAGAATGCTGTCCCATCACGCAAGAAGAAAGCATCACCCAATGTGAAAGCATCCCCCAAGAAGAAACCCTTTCGAGCGACTGCAGTGAAGGCACAGGCCAAACCGAAAGTGACCAAGACTAGGACTGATGCACCCAAGAAAAAACCTTCTACTGAACTGAAAACTGAATCACCTACCCCCGCCACTGCGGAAGCAGTGGCTGCCAGCCTGGCTCGGAAAGCCACCATGTCCAGCAGTGCAGCACCGGCATCGGAGATTGAGGCCTCGGAATCGGAAGAGGTGTCAGGGTCACAGCCAGGTTCTGACCAGGAGGAAGAATCTGAAAATGAAGACCGACTCACTCTTGAACAAGTCAAAGCAAAGAAAGCGGCACATGCCCGTTTTGTTCGATTTCGCAGAAGCTTCAAACGAAGCTTGCAACAACTCGTACATATCGATAACAATAATATTTTCAACATTTTCGAACTATGGGATGCACGTTGCATGCAGTGATATCTATATATGATCATTTTGATATGTGTTGAATGTTGATGATTTATTTGTTATTTTACAACATATCGACATTGCAAAAGAAACCCTGGGACGTGGAGATTCCTTTCTGGGAAGTTGTTGGTGACTTTACCATAGTTCCAACCTTGTCCTGAGGAAAGGATTGCCCAAAGGAGATCAAGGCAGCGGGGAATGCGGCATTCCGCTGCAGCTTAGCCCATATAGTAAGCTCACAATTCACCCATGTGCGTGGATGTGCATGCATGGCATGCATGGCATGCATGAGCTATATATGTGCACTAGTTTAATTTGCATACCTATCCTACGCATGGACGGAAGCAAGCACATCTGACGTACATGATATTGCACTTGTCTACATTCATTCATGCAAAGTACTAAAAGACACAATTGCAGCATTGCAGCACAACACATTTACAGATATATCATATCTTGCATGACAATCACACTCAACAACATGTTGCGCTCATGTGCAACTTAGGTAGAGATCGCCTGGCTATGCTAATGGACGAATGGTTGACCTGCGATGGTCATTGGACAGAAAGCAACCTGTTCAAACAGTTGAAACATGAGAGTCGACACAGAAAGTTAGGAAGACGCAAATGGATGACATTTCCAGAGATGTGTTTAAAATTTGGATCGAATACCATCGCAGAGCGAATCCGGGACCACAAGCTGCGGCCTGACTTGGTCAAGACACAGACCAGGGACAACCCGGACTGTCCAGGAGATTCAGACACTTGGGTTTAATTGATACATCGCGCATGCGCATAGTACAACAACAAAAAATGTCCACTGTAAACCAATGGTTTGATGTATTGTGCAAAGTTTCTTTTGAGGATATTAAGCACTTTGTGGACAACGTGTTTTTCTCTTACAACGTCAGATTTCAGAGAAACATGACACAACAGCTAACTCAAAAAAAAAACTGAAAGAATGCATCGGTTGGTAGCTCAAGAATTCAAGAACTATGTGTGCTATAATTGCTTTGCCAATGATCTTTCCAATTTCAGCCCAAGGAGTGCAAACAATTCCTAGTTTGGGATGCTGATGAGGAGGAGGACGTGGAAGATACAGTCACATCGACAATTTTTGCTGCTGTTGACAACGATGCTGAGCGTTCCAGGCGCAAGGAGAAGTCTAGGTCGCGTGGTAGGTCTAGAAAAAAGTCGGGCAAAGGCAAGAAAAGCCGCAAGAGCAAAGGGAAGAAGCGCAAGAAGTCTAGCAGCTCGTCAGGTTCTTCAGCATCCAGCACAAGTGCAAAGTCTTCGTCAAAGTCCAGCGATTCTTCGTCTGTGTCCAAGGCCCGTTTATTAATGAAACTAACTAGTAGCTTATATACCCCTGGGATTAAGTATTGGAAGTTGAGGCGTCATACCATGTGGACTTAGAGCCTTGATATGATTCAAAACATTCATATTGTAGTGTGCATGCATGTAGGGCAAAAAGAAAGCAAAAGGAAAGAAGAACAAGAAAGCCAAAACAAAGAAAGAGAAGAAGGACAAAAAAAGTCCAAAGGAGGAAACAGCTGAGGAGAAGGCTAAGCGTGAAGAACAGGCAAAGGAAAAGGCTGCAAAGGAAGAAAAACGTAAGAAAGAAGCCGCAGAAAAGGAACAAACGAGGAAGCGAACTGGTGAGGCGACGAAGGCAGGTCCAAACTTGGGGGGGATCCTTGGGGGTCGATCTGTTTCTGTGGTTTAATGTTCATGCGGCTAGCTTCTATTCTAGTGAGGGGTAGCCAGATTAAAAAATATTCATGACATGCAATATCAAGTCAACTCTGTCATTGGCTGACCAGCAGGTGATTGCAAAGGTCACCAGGGCCTTGGCCAAAGCAGCAGTGGTCGAGGTAAAGGCTACTGCAATGCGGCTGCCTCAAGAGTGCCAGCTGGGCTCCCTCGTGAACAAGTGGTTGTTATCTTTTTCATGGTCAATCCATTGATCATACCTTTTCAAAGAAGGTCTCAAACCTTGGTTGTGATGTTTAATTTGGGACTCATGGTTTGGACGTAGCATTCAATTCATACCTGCGATGTGGCTTGACCAATATCGCGATGTATCGATCAATATTGATATCTTATAATTATATATTTATTTATATATATTTCGATCTAGATATATAATATCGATTATATATTATCATTTTAGTTATGTTCGTTAAAAACACCCAACTAACTAGCCCCAACTCGAACCACAAATCGCCTGTCGGGTGCTCCAATGAGGTCGGCTGCCCTCCAGAAGCTTTTCCTGGCAGAGTTCAAGCCGTACCGTGTGGCCCTGCAGAAGAAACGGGATTGTTTGCAGAAGCAAGTGGACGCCTGTAAGGCCCTTGTGCTATATATTATATATGCGTTTTTTTAAATTTCTTATTAACAAAATTATCGGTACTCTTCATTGAACAAAATTGGATTATACAGGATTACAAGAATGCGATTTATTGTAAAATTTGGGGTATATGTAGATCGATTAATCTCAAGTAAAAAAGTTGTCGCAAACCCATGAGCTGACCACGCCCAACTGCTTGTTTGTGCAGGGCGGCGCTGACTTGGACACCTTGGATGCCCCTCAGCAAGAAGCCACTGATGCTGTGACAGGGTTTGAAGCTTTTCTCGCGTCCAACAACATGAAATAGAGTTGATGGATGAAGGTCAATCTATGAAGACTGTTCGGCCATGGGGTCACGTTGGTGGATACTAAGGATGGTATTCCCTTAGAAGGTTTCATGTGCTGACAGCATTTTTGCTGTTTTCATCCGCCGCTGAAAATCTATAGTAGGGCCAACGTTGGAGTTTTGACCCAGCATGACCAGCAAGGGGGGTATGTTGAAAAAAAAATCTTGATTTCAGAAACATTGCAGTGTGCCGCGTTTTGGGGTCTTATCTAGTTGCTTTGCCCCTTTGCTGCTGCTGCTGTGACATCGCATGCTTTGCAATCTGCGATCAATATCTATGGGAAGAAAAGATGCGCCGTTGCATATATATATATGTTTGCGGCATCAGTAGATTGGCTTTTGGGGCTTCTATATATATTGGTGAATCGATATCCATGGTATGTCTAGATCGAAGTCCTTGGTTTCCAGTACGTAATTGACTTGTTCCAAAAAGACCATCTATACATGTACTCTTAGATGCCCCACGCAGGTCCAACTAAAAGCCCGACAAAGAACTATGTTCTGCAAGATGCTGTTGAAGATGTCAGCTCTGGCGTCACTGGATTGCAGAAAGCCATGCGCTTCCATTGCAATATTTCAACATTGATTCTTTTGATGTCCGAAGACTTCAAATTCAAATCGCAGAAAAGCAGGAATGAATTTGGGGGTTGGTTGGGTGATTCTACAAGTGGACCAGTAATTAATTATTGTTGACTAAAAAGGATCATCCCCAATTCCTCCGGCGCCGGCTCCTGAGATAAGCTCCGTGCGCAGAGCGATGAAGAGGATACGAGGCGTTGCCAAGGAGCCCTGGGGAAGTGGCATGCATGGTCCATGAGATGGTGGATATCGCCTTGGATTGTTTATATTCCTTCTTCTATAGGATGCATCTGACATAGGAAAATATGATAGAGTATGATGGTGACCGTTCTCAGTTTGTTCCATTTGGTTGAAAATAAAACAAGATTGTTCATTAGGATGTTACCTTCAAGATTGACTTCGAGATTTTGCCAATGCAGGTATCACCATGTACCATGAATCCCCAGCTATAGGTGATTATCACTCTCTTATCCCGCTTTGTTCCAGGAGGGTGGAAAGGCTCTTCATGCTGACACTCAAAAGTCTGGGTCTTTCAGTGGCTCCAACGACTCGAGACTTCTGGCGGGCCAACGACATCCCAGTAGTGTCCCGCCTGCATGCAGGTGGGATCTGGAAAACCAGGTCTTTGAATCTTGGTGTACCTTGGGTGTTGCTGTCGGGCATGGCAGGGCTTGGAAGTTGAGTGTACATACTAATCTAGCACAATCAGTTGTAATATCACGTAATTATATCTTCAATAATCACAACATCTTCCAAAAAAGATATGAGGTATACTACCCACAAATGTAACAAAAAAACACTAACTAGCTGCCCCGACCTCCTAACATCATAAATCAAGTCCCGAGCTTTTTGGGTGTATTGATCAAGCATTATGAACTGATCAAATATGTTTTTCAAAGTGTCAGAAGATGGAGCTTGGTTGATATTGGTTGATATAATTTCAAGATCAGGAATCCCACTCAATGAATTTACCATTTTTGATTTTACAATGCTGTTACATCACAAAGTTGCTCAGGAAGTGGAAAAAATCTTTGTGCCCGTGGCTGATGCGAAAAACCCAGCAGGCTACCACCTTGAACAGCAGCCCATTCTGTTTCCCCACAGGATCATTAACTATATCTTCAACGATGTGGGGCTGCGAATTGATGAGAGGGATATACATCAATTCTGGGACAATGCGACTGCAGTTGGGGAGCCACATGTCAATGAGGCTCAGAAACAAGATCCCCCTGGGTCTCTATGGCGATTCTGCTCAGCTTATAACCAAAATTCGAACAGAGAAACTCATGTGTTTGTGGCTCAACATTCCAATTTTTAGACCCAAAGCAGTTCGCTACAGTCGATTCCTGATGTGGTGCTGCGACACTTCAAAACTATTTGGATATCGAACAACAAATTCTGTTCTTCGATGGCTGACCTGGAGCCTCAATAGTCTATATGATGGAGTCAACCCTGGAAGACGACCTGGAAACCGACCTTTAAGTTCAGAGGAAGAAAAGAGGGCTGGTACCCCTTTCCTGCATTCATTCCAGGTGGTGGAGTGTCGGGGGGATTGGGAGTTCCATAAATTCCTATGGAATTTCCGGAGCTCGTGGAAAGGAATTCACACCCGCTTTAGATGCCCGGCTGTATCCAAGAATCTTGGTGACCCAAGCATGCTGTATTGGGATACCAGCGAAAACAGTAGTTGGAGCCTTCAACAGTACAGCACAATTGATTTCATCAACAAGCAGTTACCGAGCCACAACATTTGCCACTCAGCCTGATTACTGATAATTATTTTTTGTTCTTTGACCCCAAAGGTTCCTAATATGGGAAATAGCGACTACTTAGAATAATTGACCATTGATTTTGAAATACCATTACTACTAAGGTCCTCTCGTTCGATTGAAATCGTTGCATGTGCATTGCTTAAAATGGTGCTCGATGCACGTGATCAATCTTGGCTTGTTGCATGCATGCAACGGAGGAAGTTTGAAACTCTGGCACTGATAAATCAATTTTGTATTGGTCCTGGCCCCCTCCAATGCGTCAGAGTTGCTCACTTTCCTTTTTCACGCATTGCTCGATGGTTGTGGTCGAAATGTGATTTTGAATTATTTTCAGTTCAGGGGTGTGGCCTAAAGTACCCCAAAAATATTCAATTCAAAATCCCATGTCAACACTTGTGTCCTGGCAGGTAGGTAGGATAGGTACCCCAGGTCCAATAACTTGTGTTCGACATCACAACTGTATCTGGCAGATGATGATCAAATATTGAATCATTTCTATTTTTGATCGGTTTGAGCTAGAGAACAGATTTGTGTGATTCAAGAAAAATATGTTCCTGGATCTGAGTCCTTTTCTTCCCTAGCTCAGGATGATTTTGGCGGAACAGCTGCAGCATTGGGGGGGTGGTTCATTGCAGGACCAACTGGATTGTAGTTTCAAGGACTTCAAATCATGGTGTCGAGCCCGAAAGATTCCAACATCACAACCAGCATTTACTGTGAAAATGGTGCTTTGTTTGTTTTTCAGCATCTTTTCTTGATTGATCGATTTTGACATCAAAATTCAAAAATGGAGATAAAACACTTGCTGGTATAGCATTCACCCTGCTCCCAGGTAGTGAAGAAAACGGGTGACCACATGCTAACAGCAAAGGCGTTCAACAGTCGGATCATTTGTGCTTGGTTGGCCGACACGCTACAGAATGCAGCGGTGCAATATGACGATGATTATGATGAGGGAAGACTTTCCCTGGCCTGTGTTTGCATGATCTTTGTCTGGAACATTATTGTTTCGGCTTCAAAGGTATACAAGGCCAAAAGTGAATAGGTGCACCAAGAAAATTAATGGGTATGATCGATGATGTTTAGTTATTATTTGTCCGTTAGCCTATATAATAGGAACAAGTATTTTAGTCAACCTCGGTCCATGGGCCCATTCATCCCAACCATTGGCTCCTCTGCCACCAACGCTGCCAGGAAGTCCATGGCCAAATTCTTCCATCTTATGGAATCGTCCCCGCGGGAGCTGTGACTTGGTTGTCTCTATTTCCCTGCCCTACTGATTGGGGATAACACTGGGATGTCCCTTTATAAGCTTCCTACGCGCTATGATCAATATATGTCCTATACCCTAAAAGTCCAAAGTGCATCTAATGTATATATTAATTGTATTATAAAATTTCTATGCCCCAGGATCCAAGAAAGATGTCCCCAGCATACCTAGATTTTTGATTAAGGCCACCTGCTGTTGCTGAAGATCTTCATGATACAGCTCTTCTGTTTCTTCGCACCTACAAGTCGCTATGTGCTGTGTCTGTACGACAAGGAAAAATGCAGTTCCTGATGCGACCAAAGTACCATGAACCTTGATCAAGTATTGGTAGTTGTTGATTTAATTTAATCTACGGGTTGTCATCCATTGTATACTTTATTTGATTATTCCATGGGATCGCCAAATCATATAAAAAAATAGGAATTTTGTTTGAAATGCTTGCCATCTGTTCTCCAAATAGGATGGGGGACCATGGAGTGTTAATGAATGCCAGCCCCAGGCCCTGATACATATTGCTCGAGACGTTCGAAGGTTCAGACCCTTTGATGCAGAACTAGGCTCTATGGACTCTATGGATCTGATTATTGTTCATCAAATATTGCTGCGAGCGATTAATTGTCATGAAACATGGTAATCACTGAACAAGAGAAATTTTGCCGCTACTCGCGTAATTACTCAGGAAAGAACCCGCGCCACACGCACACTTTTACTGATGAAGATGCGATGCGCTGGAGCAAAAGAATCTTAGCGCATATAGTATTCAAGTTTTTTTTAAACCCCATTGATGCGATATCGATGATGTATATTGTATTTTTTAATTTATGGCCATGTTAATGTTTATAAAGAACGCAAGGTTTTGACCCCATGCATCCTAGGTTGTGCCAAGTACTCTCATCCCAGCCAGCGCGCGCTTTGGGTTCTTCGATGTCAGAAATTAAGGCAAGGGTGTGCGCGAATGACCATGGACCTATTTGGGTTTGTCCAACCAAAATAAGTATAGAAGGATTGGTCAGTATCATGTCATACATATGAAAAATTCTACAACAACAACAACAACAATCTCGTACCGGAATACGTTTGCGCGTTTCCAGAAATTAAGGTTTTGCTGGTAGATTGTCACGCCAGCAAAGCCTTTCTGCCAGGTTACTATCTATGAAGCACAAGATACGCAAGTTGCTGGCCAGCAATGTGCATACACGAGTTCTTGTCTAAGATTTGTTAAGTTCATATACGTTGGTGCTTTCCCAGCCCAATCTCAGGTTGATGAAGGGAGCTATCCGCTGATTCTGGCTGCGTTTGGAAAAGTAAAAAGTGATGATGGGGCCTGATAGGGTCTGCGGATGGATTTGGAAAAATGTCTGTTCTATAAACGGACATTTTAGAAATGCACTTTGGACTTGTAGGGTATATATATATATACATATATATTGATATACCACCGTTAATCTACCATTATGTGAATCGGATTTTACGAACGTCGATCATTGACGGAAGCCGCAAGCCTGTGAGGCGGTAGCTTGGCGATACGCCAACTAGATGGCTATGGGTCAGTTCCTGCCAGAAGGTGGTTTTCCAGTCTATTAGCTAAGGGTAGGAAACAACAACAACCAACAGAAGTGTTTCGTTTATTCGAGTAACCATCTGTTGTTATCATATACCATTACAATTGGGCTGGCCCATTTATATCTTAGATAGATTTAGATAGCATATATGATGGATAAACATTGATAGATAGTTAGATATCATAACTATAACTAACATCATATATAACTATAACCATCGTTTATAAACCATTACATTTTAGATAGTTAGCTTTCAAACTGGTTGTCATGGCTTTACCAAGATTCACCTCACTGGGGTCACGGAGCACCACCTCAAAGGTGACCGTTGACCCCATGGACCGTTGACCCATGGCCAGAGATAAACACTGCTGCGGTGGATGCTGAAACGATGCTTGTTGGGATCAAGTTCCTTCAAGTTTGCGGCAAACGAAGGGATCAGCCAACAAAAACATAGATTTTGCCTAGTCACAAAGTTGTCCTCGCGACCTTTTGTGCTACGAAAAAAAGGAGTCCTGACGGCATCACATCGGTGTGGTGGTGTGGAGTTCAAAGAAACTAATGTGGTAAACCTAGCAAGGATTCAGTTTTTGGGTATGATACACCAAGCTGGTAACATTGGGTGAATTGGGAATTGTTTCTGATTGGGTTTAGCAGATGATTGGAGAAAAACAAAGCAGACCTTCCCTTCACTTCACCCATACCAGTACATCCTTAAATTTTGGGTGGTAAAAAGAACGAATATCCATCAGCACGCCAAAACTGGTGTGATATTGCATCTCAACAGGTAGGTGCATAGTAAAACTGTAAAACTGTAAAACCCATAGAATGTTAGGTTTGTCCCACTAGCTACTGCAACCATAAAAATGATAATTTATTATCCATCAAGATCCATTGAGTACAACTAAGTTAACCTTATCTAGTTTTCGTACGACAATTAATTATATGAACATGTTGATCAGGCCATGGAAATCATGACTGAAAAACTACCGTTAAATTGCTAACAACACATAATATGTATATATATAGTTATATGGCTTATTATAGTCAGTTAACATTGGCTATCATACCCTCCCCCAAAACTAACATGTCGACCTTGCCATTTATTTAGGTGTATGAGACTACTTTCCACTAAAGGTTGTCTGTGTTCAGAGTCTATGTTATCGTTAACTAATGTGATCAACCCAATAATAAGCTAATCTCACTCGGATTTATGATATCTTATTCTTGGGTTTACCAGTTTTGTCTAGTTCATCATCAACCATTCCCAATTTGGTCTGTCTTACTTTTGGTCAATGGCCATGTCATGAACCTAAATTGGAGGTACCTACCATATATTTTTGGCCTATTTTTCAGACCTCAATTTCAGGGAATATCCCCATAAGATATGGTCTTATATGGATTTGGGTTTAGTACAATGAATCCGTGGGGGATTATATTTATATGGATAATTCTAATTATATCCCCCTAAAATGAAGATATAAAACATATAATTATATGGTACTAACGTACCTCCATTTTAGGATCCTGAAGATCTCCCATTGATTTGGGTTTTGCGTAGCGTGATGAGTCCGTGGAGGTCTGCAAGCTGCTGGACGAGGTGAATGTTGGTTTCAGCCAGCCCGAGTGACCAACCGACCAACCGATTGGAGATGGGGTGGATGACTACTATCATTACCCGGCCTGGTAAACTAACATAGCTATTGAAAATGGCCATAGAAATAGTGGATTTACCCATCAAAAATGATGATTTTATATAGTTATGTTAGTTTACCAGAGGGTTTGTTCTACTAGCATAAACTTCCATAAACCATAATTAGTCTATAATGATAGTAGTTAGCTATAGCTATCATAAATCATCAGTCAGCTGCATTAGTGCTGCGTTCCCCATGTTTCTTGGTTAAAGCCACACCTGTTTGGTGGTTTATGGTGTTTCCACTGGTTATGTTGTGATGCAAAGCCGTATACTGTATATAGATATATACGTTATATTACATATATATATATAAGTAAAAACTGAGACTGGGCCTGGAGTTCTGATAAAAAGTGGGGAGAGTTGGCCTCCAGCAATGTCTTCAAGTTCAAGGATGGGTGTTTTGTTCGAGGATGGGTCCAATTGGGGATTCTTTTGCTACCCCAGTTTCGAGCCAAACCCATGGTGCCCTTAGTTCTGAACCCCAGAAAGCCACCATAAAGAAGTTGAGCTTACTGCCCAGCAAAAAGCCTGAGGATGACGCATTTCGCACTGTTTCTAAGCTTGACCTTAAGGTGAATAGAAACGAGGGACTTAGATCCTATAGGTTTTGACTTGATGGATTCTGTAATCTTGGCCATAGCCATAGCCAAAGTCATGGGTTTGTTTTCAATGTTTTCATGTTTTTTTCAAAATATACACATTCAGATCCCTATGGATCCGAATGCTCAGACTCCCCATCTCTGGAGATTCAGAAGATACTTCAGCACCTAACACCAAAAATCAATGCCCATTCTCGGTACATTTTTTGGATCAGGGCTGAAAAACGTCCACATGATCCCCACTTGATGTTTTCGTTTTGCTCCCACAAGGCCAATATCCAGTGGATCTACTGCATCCAGATGGATGTTCTATTTTTTTTGGGGGTGGTTCCCAGAAAAATCCCAGAAGATGTTCCAGTGTTTAATCCATTTGTTCAACAAGATTCCCGGAAAAATCCCAGACTCTTAGCACGCTCGCGCAAAGCTTCGGCTCAAAAAAATCAGACCACAGGAGATGTGACCCTTCGACCATGGAAAAATGGCCGCCCTGAGATGGTAAAGTGGGACAGCTGAAAAATATGTTAGGTATAGGATGACATAGCTGTCCCACTAGGATGAGATATCCACATATATGACATAGGCTATATTAGATATCATATAGATATCATCTATATATCCACTATTATATATATGAGATGGTCCCTATTAGATCTCATCCCAGGGACCAGCTAGAACGGACCACTGGAACCGGGATGAGATCTGAGTCAACTGTTTCGAGACATTTCGACAGCTGGGAGAGGTAAGGATCACCCGGACATGTATAAATTAACCATGGGCCATCTATAAATGGTATTTAACCATGGTATATAACTGGTAGAAATGGTATATGACTGGTATATAACTGGTTGAACCCTCTGGTTATGACTAACAGTTCGCTATGGTATAGATGGCCCTAATCGAAACAGATGATTTTCCTAGCGAACGAAACCTCCATTGATTTCAGGGATTGTCCAGTTCGCTATGTTAAATTGTTAAATAACCAGATGATATGTTTTGATTTCGCTGTACTAAACCTGACCAGTGGAAAATCCCCAGTTTCAAATATATACGCAGTTTTCGGCAAAAGCACCCACCTTTTCGGCAGATGTTTGCCAGGGTTGTCGGGTTTACTAAGACCATTTGGATCAACATTTGGAACATCATGATAGTTCCGGGCGAAAGTGAGCCATCATGTTGTTGGCAAAATAGAAAATCAATATAAATCAATTGTGCAAATACACTGGTCGCTGGTTTCAAACATTTTTTTATTTTCCATTTTCTGTATGGGAATAATCCTTCCCATTGACGAACTCATATGTTTCAATATGGTTATTGCATGTTATTGCATGTTATTACACCACCAACCAGCAACAAATCGTGAGATCAGAAACACCAAAGGTCCATCCGGCATTTTTGTTCGGTGTCTGAAAACCGGGTTCCGCAACATCTCGCCGTTGATCAGCAAATATATACAGTATACATCATACCCCCTTGAAATTTTGTCAGCAAATCCCTATGGTAGATCCGCCATGGATGAGAGCCTTCGATCACTTGAAGCTGCCTGCTCAAACAAATGGTTATGATATGACTTATGCGTAATATCAGAGTATCTTACTAAGTTCTATATCTCATCCAACAATACTGGCTGGTGGTTTGGAACATGGCTTTTATTTTTTTCCATTCAGTTGGGAATGTCATCATCCCAACTGACGAACTCCATCATTTTTCAAGATGGTTATTGCACCACCAACCAGCAACAAATCGTGAGATTTCCAGAAACACCAAATCTAAGTTCCAGCTATCTCACCCAACAACAAGTGTTTTTTTTTGGCGTAAGATCGCAACGGTGGAAGAGTTGATTTGGGCCGATGGCGGAAAGATGGCCCGGTATCACCGCCCTGCAATGGCAATGGCGGGGACATCACCCAAAGATTAGGAAGGTGCGGTTGTATATATACCCTCTGGTTATGACTAACATAGCCATGGAAAGATCCACCATTTTTAATAGGTAAACCATCTATTTCTATGGGCCATCTATACCATGGCTATGTTAAATAACCAGATGGTAATACACATAGAATCAGATCATATACACATATAAATACATATTATTTCATTTACATATGCAGCATATGCATATATACGTAGTCAAAACATCTACCCTCTGGTAAACTCACAGTTTGCCAACTTGAAAATGGCCATAGAAATAGTGGATTTACCCAACAAAAATGGTGATTTTCCATAGCCATATGGAGATGGGATTGTCGGGGGATCTGCTATCCAGGGCCGTGCGCAGCACCAATGCATCGCGATGGCGCGGACCTTGGAGGAAGTGGATGGATTGGAACGTGTGGAGGGGACATAGTTCAGGGAATATGGGCATATATGTAAATAGTATAATATATATATAGTATTGTATAGAATTCTATCATGATTTTGATAATATATATATATATAATGCATGTTTATGACTATAACGTATGATATGATATGATTTGAAGGGACACGTGACATACTGAGAAAATAGTCATGTAACAACATGTGGGCACGCCAGTGCAATCACAACACGGCATCCTAAGATGGGAAGGTGGTATAGAAACAAGGATGCATAGATGCATGGCTAGATTTAAAGTTCGTTTTGCATATGCAAAGTGGTAGTCTCCTAAGATTGTAAGAACAACCCCAATCCCATGCAAGGTGGTTCCTGACAGTTGCAACTTGGTACATCAACCGTGTCAACTATAAATATCTCTACCATAAACACCAGTTTTGGTAGTATATATATATATTATAATATTATATTATATATATATGGTTGGTGGTTTGGAATATGTTTTATTTTTCCATTCAGTTGGGAATGTCATCATCCCAACTGACATTGTTCAGAGGGGTAGGTCAACCACCAACCAGTCGGCCCAAGGCTCCTGGATTTTACCGTGGCCTTCGCCCTTTGCCGTGGCCCTGGCGTCATGGTTTTTCTTGATGGTTTAACCGTTGGGTAAACCATGTTTTAATCATGTTTTAAAAAATATGAAATGGATAACGGGCAACCATTTTTCATGTTTTTTTATGCTTGTTACAACAGTTAACGATATGTTATGTATTCTTTGTTTTTTTTGCAACTATCTCAGTTGAGTGATGTGTTTAAAGATCGTTTAACCATTGGTTTAGTGATAGGGAAACTATTGGTGAACCAGTGGTCCAGTGGTTAATTGATGTGTATTAACTAACATTGATTATTCTAGCTGGTATTGTTAACAGTCGGGTTCTACTATCCAATACAACGGGGTTCACACTTATATTAGGGGAATCGCATTCTCAACCATTGGCTAGTTTATGTTTATGGTTAGTATTGAGGTTCTACTAGCTTATTGCAAACTTCTCATTTCCAGTATGGGGTTAGCGAGAAAAGCTAACAACTAGTAGTACCAATTCACAACCAGGCTTCTGACACTGCTCAATTGCTAAAGTAGCTGCTTGGTGGTATAATGGAGTTTAATATCGGGATAGAATGGCGATATATGTTGTTTCTATCCTCATATTAAGCCCAATGTTAGTTCATATATATATATATATATATAGTTTTATTTATTTATTTAGTGGCTGCTATCAACCCCCTGGTAGATCTTACTTTAGCCACCCAATCCCACCAGGCAATTGAACATGGTTTGCAGTAATTGGTTTGTGGCTTGATGGTTGTCTTCAATGTTGAACCCCATTTGTGGGCATTGTCTCCTTGCCAAACCCCATGGGTCACATGTGTTTCTTGCATCAGCCCAGAAAAGAAAAAAAACAACACGTATGAATGATCACCGTTATATGGAGTATGTCATTCAATGTTATATGATAAATGATCACCGTATGAATGATCACATATATTATATGGAGTTATCCAATTATCCAGTTATCCAGTTATCCAGTTATCCAATGATCACCGTTTTATTTGGTCTTGGGGTAATTGTGTTTCCTGATTTCCATTCCGATTCCTGGGACTCTCCCAGGACATGATCAAGAAAACTGGTGGTACGTCCTGACGGTCCTGATTTTTCAGTGGCAAGCAAACTGTTGTAGATGGTAAAATGATGATAAAATGATGGTAAATTCATCTGGTTGGTGGTTTGGAACATGTTTTATTTTTCCATTCAGTTGGGAATGTCATTTCATCCCAACTGACTTTCACTCCATCATTTGTCGAAGGTGTAGGTCAACCACCAACCAGCCATTATTAATCAATGATTAACCATCATTAACCACTATTAACCACCATTAACTACTATTAAGCATGGGATTACAACAAGCCCAGCTGGATAACCTCGATACTTCGCCCAGCGCATCCACAGGTCGAGAGGTCCTACAGACCTATTGGTGTCCTACATCCCGAGTCGACGGCGCATCGGCCGACTGAGGGGTACAGATGGGGATCCAACAGGATCGAGATCGGAAAGATCCACCATTGAAAAATGGGTAAATCCCATGTAAATCATTGTAAATCCACGATTTCGACTGGGCAATTTTCAATCGTTTTTGGTATGTTTACCAGGCCGGGTATTTGGTAATAAATTGTCATGAAGATCGCGATAATTGAGAGGTATAATTGCTGGTATACCAACCATTTCTGGACGAAGCAACAATTGAGTTCTCTGTGTCCTCTGTGTCCATGGTTTTGGACACTTGAAAACTACAATGCTTTGTTGGAATTCAATAATATTGTTGAGATGTGATACATGATGATACATGATACATGTTCATTTCGATCCTGTCAGACTGGAAGTATCGAATGAACGATCATTGATGTTCAGTGCGGACAAGTCCTGGCTGAAGAGTGTAACTCGCGTAACAACCCCCCTATACAACAGTTGTTTGATGTGATTCCAAATTTATCCAAATTCTAGTTACTAATTCCTAAACATGTACAAACTTATACGTATCATCCAATGATCTTGACCCAATTTTTACTTGAAAAAAGTTTGGTCCATGGTTTAGTTGATGAACATTTAGATAATCATCCATGGGTCAATTAAGCTTGGTTACTTAAGCTCACCATTGAGTTCTGGTTCGACCCTAACGAATAAAGACATAGGGTATATTCAGGTCATGCTTGACATTTTAGGCTTGTGAGGCCATCGGTCAACACCTTCCGACATTTGGTGCAGGCCCGGGCGCTGGCAAATCACAATGCATCCACTGGACGATGCGGTTGTTTCGCGAAGGGCTTGGCAATTGGGTGTCCAATTCCAGACGCGGCCCCCGTCAAGATGATGCTGATGTAGCAAAAATGTGTCAGAACTGCGTTGCGATGAGATGGCTCACCATCGACGAAGTCAGCTGCGCCTCCGTGAACTTGCTTGGTGCTGTTTGTTGCTGTTTGTTTCACTTGCGTTTCTAGGTTCAGGGTTCTTCTCGAGTGTATAGGTGTTTACTAAGACAAGACAAGACCACACCAAACCATGGGTTTCCCCATGGTTTCCCCATGGTTGCCCCATGAAACATGACCCTCTTGGAGGATCACTTTGGGTCCCGCAATCACTTAGGAATCCCAGAGATGGGCGAAGGTTCACCCCCAGTATCCACTCCGAGGCGCTCGAGGGAAGGCTTTCGAGCTCCAATCAAACCACAACATCATACCCGCAGGCAGGGAAAGTCAGTGGAACCACTGACTTGATCATTTTCTGTAACTTGACTGGTGAATGGATGTGAATGGTGGCTTCATATATTTTTTGTGCCACAAAGAGTAAGGAATCATGAGGACTGTGACGTCCCCCACTGGTCCTGATGGGATATGTAAGCAACATCAAGCAACCAGAAGCATCTACAATCGAAAGTTCGGCTATAATAGTTTCCCATAAGTTCAGGGATGGTCAACACCCCATGAGAACAGGGGTTAATGGTTATCCATCAATCGGGAAATCCTACTCATGATGGTAGATTACCACAGCCCAGATACCATCTTTTGACCATGGCACAAATGAATGTACCCAAAAGCGCAGGTGATGTGGATTCCAGGTTTCTTACCTCCACTGTTTGAGAACCTGACCCAAGCCGAAAAAGAATCTCCGCAGATGCATGAAAAAACACTAGCTGATTTGAGGAACCATTTGACTTACGAGTATTATATACGCGTGCCACGTCCCCAGACTGCAAAACCGTTACATCGAAGTGGTTCCCCAAAGCTACGCAGAAACAGAAGGACCAGGAACATTTCAAAGTTGCTCTGATCTCAAAGCTATAGTTTTGCTTTGAAAGTTGAGAACAAAAAATCTCCCATTTATAGATGATATATATTATATATATATAGATGATGTTGCCAGCTAGAAACCTTCATTCACAGTGGATTTCCCAGCCAGCCATGTGCGAAAAAACCAGAGGGTATTGCAGGCCACTGGAATCTCCAATGAGACGAGTACCATGCCGCAGCCGGACGGGAAACCGATGGAAACCGCACGCCTGGAAGCTGACAGTGGGGCCATTTTTTCATGTGGAGGATTAGATACCCGGCCTGGTAAACATACAAATTAGCTATTGAGAATGGTCCATTTATAGAATTTTATAGTTGATTTACCCATTTAAAGTGGTGATGTTCCATAGTTATGTTAGTTTACCAGAGGGCCAAGCCATTGAATTTTGGAGCTACCCTATGTTCGGATTATGGTAGTCTAGCGCAGTTGATTGATTTGGGGGTTGCTACATACACACACTACATACACACACTATTATAGTGAACTGATTACCACTCTGAATGACTAGAAAGTCCGACCCTGGTTCACCAACGTTAATTCTCGCAAAGGATTGGTATTATCAGCAAATTGCAATATTGGTGTCCATACACATTACATAAGTGTTTTTTATATCCTTCCATGGCACCTTTGTATATAGTTCTTTTGATTTCCATGGATCATTTTGCCAAAATGATTCGGTGACATGTCTCGCATGTAATCCACTCCAAGATCCTTAGGCCGGTAAATTCATCCTGGAAACCTATCTCCAAAGATCTCAAAGGCAAACAATAACTGCATAGATACACCTGTGTACATCATATGAGGATCCGTAATTTTATGCATTAGATCTCTATCATGCATTAAGATGCATATATGTGTACAAATAATAAATATAATATATATATACATATTGTTTTATTCGGGGAAAAAACTAATACATACATGTAGATTTACTTGTACATAGATACTTTCATAGATACAGTTTACATGTATTCGAATTGTATAGATAAAATATGTTGTCTCTATCTATAACATGTATGTATCTATATTGTATGTATATCTAGATTTACTCTTGACACATTCAGGAGGTCTCCGTGCCGGCAGCTTCTGCCGCGTTGCAGGTGTGGGGCCGAAGCCAATGGAATCCCAAAAGTTTGGAGGATTTGTCTATCAAACATATGGGGGAACGCCATTGGTGAGAGGTAGTTAAATACTTGATGTTTTCGATGACAAGAATGTATACAAGTACTAACCAGCTGAACAAGACAGCAACATACAGCAACTTAGTGACCATCCAATCAGCAAATTGAAGGCTGATGAGCTTTGATAACCCCCGCGAAGCGACACTTCATGGCGTGTATCGCATGGTATGCTTCGAGGGCATGGTATGCTTCAGTTGATGTTTTGAGTCTGAGTCTTCACGTCAAACAAAATCATGTCATTTTGACGATGGGATATGGAGGTTTCATGAGGTTTCCATAGTCATGGGGGTACCCCAAAATGATCAACATGGATGGTTTATAATGGAAAAATCCCAATCTAAAATGGATGATTTGGGGGTACCCCTATTCATGGAAACCCCCATATATTTACCATGCTTCGTTACTGGAGTTTAACCCCATGCAACGGCCAATCTTGGATACCCTGCAGCACATCACAAGTGGTGAGTTGAAGGCCACTGGACGTTGCCTCCTTGGAGCCTAGGGCCTAGGGGCTCTCACTGAGGAACATGGCGGCAAATTCACACCTCTCTTCGAAGCCGGTAGATCACAGAACTATACAAAAGATGTCTGGTTGGTGGTTTGGAACAATGATCCCAAATAATAGTGGTTTAATAATGGGTTAATAGTGGTTAATGAAAATATCTGGTTGGTGGTTTGGAACCATGGAATTTTATGACTTTCATTCAGTTGGGAATGTCATCATCCCAACTGACGAACTCATATTTTTCAGAAGGGGTAGGTCAACCACCAACCAGTATACAAAAGGTGTGTAAATCGCGTCCCATTTGGCGATTCGGCTGCCAGCGCGTGCCATTTTTGCTGACTGAAATGACAGCAGGACCAAAGCGGGACCCGAGCGATTCCTATCTGGATGGTCCATGCGAAGTTGCAGAAGCAATCGATCTACCATGGAAAATGGCCCATTTATAGATGGTGTACGGTTTACCTATTAAAAATAGTGATTTTCCATGGCAAACTGTTAAATAACCAGATGGTAAGTGATGTGTTGATTCATGGTGTTGGTGTTGTCGTGGTGGTCGTGGTGCTTGTCGTCGTTGTTGCTTTATTTATGTTACTTTTGTTTTAACTTAGCGTTGTTTTGCTTTGCGTGAATTTAGATAAATTGCTCACAAGTGCTTTGTCTATAAAAATCCATAACGACCTCACTGTTCCCCCTCACTGGAATGATGGTTAAGGGGCAAATATATATCCCAAAACAGGCCACAAATTCAGGCTAGTGGAATATGATGAACATTGATGAAATAGTTACCCTCTAGTTATTTGTTACATAGCCATGGTATAGATGGCCCATAGAAATAGATAGTTTACCTATTGAAAATGGTGGATCTTTCCATGGCATGTTCCTAGCGCCGCTTCGCACAGGTCACTCATGGCGCCGCTCTGCCGGAGATGGCAAGCTCAATGGAAGAGAGGCAGCGACAAGTGATGTGAGATATGGGGGGAACCCAGAAATGGGGGTACCCCAATAGCTGGATGGTTTGTTTCATGGAATTTCCGATACAAATGGATGATTTAGGGGTACCACCATTGTAGGAACCCCCCCCATATCATAGGGGAATATGATGAGAAAATGGAAATCCAGTGACATATTTCATCGGATAGAACCATACAGACAGGGGACTTCAGCAACAAAAAATACAAACAATGGCTGGTAAAATAGGATAGTGGATATATGTTACGGGATCTACAGCCAACTTGATATGATATTTGGCTGTGTCTGAAGATGAGGCATACACACCACATGTCAGTTTTCATACGGAAAAGCGTGCATACCTAGTCTCAGTAGATTTGGAGGCCGCCTATTTTCAGCCAAACCCACATGTACGCAAGTGCATCATGGATCCAACATCTTTGAGATATGGTACTTCATCGCACCTCCCAAATCATACCCAAATTCTATCCACATATCCATATTATTATTACATATATTACATATATATATATATATATGTTGAATGTTTTTGTTGTTTAACATGTGGATTGAACCAATAAAGACCTGGATGTCTGACAAATTTACCACGAGTTATGGCATATTTTTTTTGCAAGATGATGTCTGACAAGCTCACGAACTACAACTACACAAAAAAAACAACATCATCACCCATAAACTTGATACGACTAGTATATCCCCACAATCGATACTTCAACCTTTGCTGAAAGGTTTTTGATATGATGTGTTTTCCCCTGAAACCCAATGTCCTTTGTTGTTCAAACCCGATTTGTTCGGCGAGTGTGTCAGAAGATATGATACCCCTAGATCCACTCAATAATCATGTTCTCCTTTACATTTGCCAAATTTTGTAGGTAAGTACCCCATTTCCACACAGACAAGTATCACATCAAGTTGGTTAGCCCATGAATATCCACATGATCCTATTATACTTGGTAAATTAAATATCCACATGATCCACATATCATGGTTATTGTGATTTATACTTGGTAAATATATGGTACCATCTGGTTATGACTAACATAGCCATGGAAATTCACCATTTTTAATAGGTAAACCATCTATTTCTATGGGCCATCTATACCATGGCTATGTTAGTCATAACCAGAGGGTAACCATTATTATTAACCATTATTAACCATTATTAACCATTATTAACCATTATTAACCATTATTAACCATTATTAACCATTATTAACCATTATTAAACACTATTAACCACTATTAACCACTATTAACCACTACAAATAGATGGTAAATTGTCCCGAAAAATATCCCCATGGTTCTTCCCATCAAAAATCCCATCAAAACCGTCGCCAGGCGCCGCTTAGTGCGGCAACGCGGCGGCAACACCGCACTCGTCACATTGGCGAGGCGTTTTTACTTCGGGGGAGATGGAGATGATGGTTACCCTCTGGTAAACTAACATAGCTATTGAAAATGGCCATTTATAGTGCGTTTTCCCATTAAAAATGGTGGTTTTCCATAGTTATGTTAGTTTACCAAAGGGTATATAAGGTTGAATAAGCCTAATGGGAATACCCTAATGGTTGGATCATGATGACTATTAATGACTTTGAATTGTATCCCCAATATATTTGGGGTTGAATGGGTATCTTATTTGTCATCTAATATGTACATAATATACACATAATTTAATATATATATATATTTATAAATACAGAAAGGGACGTTGTGGAGGGGTGTTTTTTTTTTTTTAACGATGTTTTGAACAATTCACTAAAAAAGCATCTTTGGTCACTATATCATCAAATGCTCATAGTATTTATTATTTTTGTGATACATGTAATTATTTGGCTTAGGTCTTTTAGATCAATCAAACAAAGGTTATGTTTCATGTTATATTTCTTTGTGCCAATATATGCTAATATACAGACTTAGAATATCAAAGTCAATTATAGTTACACCTCTAAGAAATCTTAACTTTCAGCCATATTAGCTTAATGCAGAAATAGGAATGGACAGATATGGGTCAAAAATTGGATTAATATTAAATATTGCTACTAAGCTTTCCATATAGATGTATTTGTTTTTCCTTTCTCTCCTCCTCCTCCTCCTCGAGACTTCTGGAAACCTAAAACCTCTGTTTTTTTATCTTCTAGACCTCTCTGAGGTCCAAAAAAAAACAAACTGTTTTTTTGTCCCCCTCCCCTCAGACCCCAAGATACCAGCTTTGACATACTAAAGTCACCGGATCCTCTGGATTGATGCTTCCCTTCTCCCGGTCTGGCACCCATTCTGACCTAACCATTCTCAGCTTCACCCTTTTGCATTGAACTGAAGCCAGAGATGTTTATTTCCACAAAGGCTTTGATGAAATTATGAAATTATATGTTGCCAAGAATGGTCCATAAATATAGTGTGCCAATGGATAGGCCATTGCATGATATACCATAGGATAACACAGTGACGGCCCAGATTCATCACTTTCCACTTTCCGCAGCGCAGGCGCTACTATTGTTTGCGTTTGGTCAGTGTGCCCTTCGCACAGTGGCACTTCAGGGTGCCATGGGGGGTCTGGGTTGGAGAGATCTACCTGAGCCAATAAGAATAGCATGGTTGATTGGTTCTGAAATAGAGAATGATACCTGGTTTATATAATGCTGTTTAATGGGTATTATGATAACCCATAGTAGAATTACGCGCAAACCGCCCAGTTCGCCCACACAACTGTTAAGGGAATATTGAAGGGAGCATTAAACTTTACATTCAAAGGGAATATTCAACATGTTTCAACAGAGTTTCTAGGGAATCATCAAATCCGCACCTCCGTTGAATTTGTATGTATATAATATATATATATATATTATATTCAAGGGAATTTTCCAGGAGTTTAGGGTTTAGGGTTTTAGGGTTTAGGGTTGATGTTGTCGATGATGATTATGACAATGATAATGATGGTGATGATGATTATTATGATGATGATGTTGATGATGATGGTGATGTAACATTCAACGCACAGGTAGCCTAATCTGTGCGTTGCAAGATTAAAGCCAAGATCACGGACATGTGCATTTTGTCCCACAAAACCGAGTGTTTTTTATCTTCGGGGACGTCGTCGACGTAGGCGCGGGCAAACTGGAGGGTTTGCCCATAGGATTAGTAGGGAAACCTATCAACCAAACAAGCAGTATAATGAGATGGGATGGGGGGTGGTTTTTAATGGCTCACCTGAAGACTGCAAGTAAACCCCAAGATTCACTCGGTCACCCAGTCTGGCAGTCATTTCAATATTGCTTTCATTATTAGGTGGGATTGATGGCAAGAAACTGTTTTTTTCATCAACCAAGCAAAAATTGGCATATATCAACGGCTAAAGTCTAAAGTCAAGCACATGTATAAAATTATCATAAAAGGGCTGGTGAATGTCTAATTTTGGGTGAATTGTGTGTGAATTTTGGTTTATTTCAAAGATTACCCAAAGATATCTTGTGGTTGCCAGTGATTTCCTGAGGCAGCCGGGTGAAGTTTTCTAATTGGACAGCCATCACCACCCCTGTCGGGTAAACCTTGGTTGAGTAGCTTCGTGGCTGTTTGGATGAATGGGAATAATGGGGATGAATAGGGTTTAACCAACATATAATGGTGGGGATATCAATGGAATACAACTTAACTAACCAACTTTGTATGATATTATCGATGTGTCTGGAAATGGTGTGTATATCCTATACTCCAAATGGCCAATGTTGATAGGGAAAATGATGAGAAACCGTTGGAATTTCAGGGTTACTCTATTCTCAAACAGACCATATTGTTTCTTCCAATGGAGGTTTTTTTTCTGGTACCCGGATTTGTGTTTTTGATATACCCTCTGGTAATTTAGCATAGCTATTCAGAATCACATTTTTTATGGGACAATCCACTATTAATGGTCATGTTCAACAGCTACGTTATTTTTCCAGAGGGTATGGGGATTTTTTTGGGGTACTGATTTTCAGGTCCGATTTTTGTGTCAAAACACAACGGCGGGCAGGTGGTGTCCAAGCGTCCAAAGCGACGCAATGAGGAGACACAGAGGCGGGAGACCAACGAGTTCAGTGAAATAGCTGCCATTGTAAGGGGATGTAATGTGGGAAAGCCAAGAGTAAACCTATCATTTGGGGCACCTCATAAAAATGGTGATTTGGGGGATGTTGTTGGATTTCTCACATTATTGGGATTGTAGGGATACCCATATGCTCCATGGTGCTGGAATATGAATCCCTACATTTACCCCATAAATGACCCAGTTTTGTAGGTAAATATGCCAGCACCATTATTGAATTTCACGAGGTCTTGGGGTTTTGGGATTTTTAGGGTATATTGGGTTTCAAAGTCAAAATGCATCATTTCGAGCAACCTGCGCGCAGAAGGGTCGTGAGGAAAAGTGTTGAATGTTGTGATTTTTGTTGAATCAGTGGTCCACAGGTCCAACTGGCGTTCCAGAGAAACTGAAACAGTCGGAAACAGTCGGAAACAGTCGGAAACAGTCGGAAACAGTCGGGAGCGGCCCGGCGTGATCATGCCAAAATTGTCAATCCGCCATTTTTTTGCAAAAAAAAACTTTCCGCGCAATCCCATTTTTTTTTTGAAAGTGCAACGGGAAACAGTTGGAAACAGTTGGGGCTCGTACCTTTGACTCGGCAAAAAAAGAGCTATTTAAAACCAGTTTATAAAGAAAATGAACCTTAAATGGTTTTAAATAGCTCGTTTTTTGCCGAGTCAAAGGTACGAGCCCCAACTGTTTCCAACTGTTTCCCGTGGCACTTGCAAAAAAAAATGGGATTGCGCGGAAAGTTTTTTTTTGCAAAAAAATGGCGGATTGACAATTTTGGCATGATCACCCTGGGCCGCCCCCGACTGTTTCCGACTGTTTCAGTTTCTCTGGAACGCCAGTTGGACCTGTGGACCACTGATTCAACAAAAATCACAACATTCAACACTTTTCCTCACGACCCTTCTGCGCGCAGGTTGCTCGAAATGATGCATTTTGACTTTGAAACCCAATATACCCTAAAAATCCCAAAACCCCAAGACCTCGTGAAATTTAACAAGCACCATGGAGATACATGGAGCATATGGGATATACTGGGATATAAGCAACTGAATTTTGCAGGCTTGTTCCATCGGTAAATCATGGCCACAATTGGGGATGTTTGAAATCGATCTCCTGGGTCTCAGCCAATGGTCCCTATGGTCCCTACGGTCCCTGGGAAATTCCCATGAGATCACCATGAAATCTGGTTAAATTATAACGACCTCACTGCGACCTCACTGGAATCATAGTCAATAAGGGGAATTATCCCAAAATAACCTTGCTTCAGGTTAGTGAAATATGATAATTTACCCAGATGAAATCACCAATCCCAACCCCATGCATGGCCAGCGCGCCATCCGCGCAGGTTGTGCTTAGCCCTCCGGAGCTGGCGTCGCATCTTGCGACGGCCACGGCTCGGGCGAAGCTTGGTGGGGAGACGCAGCACTGGGACACAGGGGCGATGGCTGGGCCAGTGGGGAGATCACTTGGATTTGTTTTGGCAACCAAACATTTCTGGTTGGTGGTTTGGAACATGAACTTTATATTTTCCATATATTGGGAATAATAATCCCAATTCATTGGCCAATGTACGCCGCACAGTGGATGAAAAGACTATGTCTCTCCCAGATGGGTCAGACCTAGATTGTTTCGGAAACCTGACCGAACTCAACATTCCATTCATAGGTGCCTCGCTGATCTCCTTCAAGGGCATGGAAGAATATCTGGCTTCGAGAGGTCAAGGGCCTGCTGTCTTTGTCAAAGAGCCTTCAAAGCTCTCAAGGGCCTGCTGACTTGTCAAAGGAGCCTTCAAAGCTCTTCAAGTCGCGCGCAGGGCTCCTCACAACTGGGAGAAGACTGATCGATGGTCAGTCAGATGAATCATGCAAGGCATATGAACCTTTGTGCACCCCCGGGCCTCAAGTTTTTCACACTCAAGCATCCAAGTTTCATGCAGCATATGATGCAACGAGACATGCCAGAGCCGTAGCAGCGGCCATACTGGGAGGCTTCGCCTCAGTGGAAGAAGCTCGTGCGCTCAAGACCATGTGGTCTCTGAAAACTAACACCGGGACCGCCCTGACTGCAAACGCTGTCCTCCAGGACTTAGACAGTTTGATTGGCTCCCTGATTGAACTAACTAGCAGAAGTTTTCTAAGATGATCCTAAGTCATCACGCTCGTGCGCTACAGCTATTTGGCTATTTGGCCCATCTTTAAAAAATATTTCAAAAATCTGTGATTTTCATTTTTCCTTCGATTTATATGCAGAGATTATTTTAAAGCAATTTAATTAAATAAAAAAAATACAGTTTTTTTTGTTTTTTTCACTTTTAATTTTTCTCTGTTGTTTCTCGTTTTTTTTCCCGTTGTGCTTCCCTATTGTCGTCCCTGTTGTCTTACCCCGTTGTTCACCCCACTGCGGCGCCACAGGGACTGCAGAGGCGACCGGAAACTGCTCGCTTTCATTTTCCACCAACGCGCGCGCGCGCGTTGGCGCAAAACGCTCACCCCGACTCGTTGCATTGGGATCACCGCCCCGGGGAGACACCACGGGGAGATACCACGGGGAGACACAACGGGGAGACACAACGGGGAGACACAACGGGGAAACAAAACGGGGAAACAAAACGGGAAACAAAATGGAAAAATGAAAACGAAAAAAAATAGAAAAGTTACATCTATAAATGTTAAATCTATTTAATACCTTGCAAACAATGTATGTATATATTTCGAATGAAAAATTGATGACTTAGGACTTGTGCCCATCTTCAAAAAAATATTTCAAAAAAATCTGTGGTTTTCTTTTTTTCCCTTCGATTTATGTACAGACATCATTTTAAAGCAATTAAATAAATTAAAAATATCTAAATATTTTTATTTTTTCACTTTTCATTTTTCCCTGTTGTTTCCCGTTTTTTTTCCCGTTGTGCTTCCCTATTGTGGTCCCTGTTGCGCTACCCCGTCGTTGGGTCGAAGTCCGCGAGCCAACCGTTGAAAAAATTGATGACTTAGGACTTGTGCCCATCTTCAAAAAAATATTTCAACAATATGTGATTTTCATTTTTCTCCTTCGATTTATGTACAGACATTATTTTAGAGCAGTTAAATAAAATAAAAAATGTGTTTTTTCACTTTTAATTTTTCTCTATTGTTTCTCGTTTTTTTTCCCGTTGTGCTTCCCTATTGTGGTCCCTGTTGTCTTACCCCGTTGTTCACCCCACTGCGGCGCCACAGGGACTGCAGCGGCGACCGGGAGCTGCTCGCTTTCATTTTCCACCAACGCGCGCGCGCGTTGGCGCAAAACGCTCACCCCGACTCGTTGCATTGGGATCACCGCCCCGGGGAGACACCACGGGGAGATACCACGGGGAGACACAACGGGGAGACACAACGGGGAGACACAACGGGGAAACAAAACGGGGAAACAAAACGGGAAACAAAATGGAAAAATGAAAACGAAAAAAAATAGAAAAGTTATATCTATAAATGTTAAATCTATTTAATACCTTGCAAACAATGTATGTACATATTTCGAATGACAAATTGATGACTTAGGACTTGTGCCCATCTTCAAAAAATGATGTACAATCCGACGAGTGATAAATTGAAGCTGTTCTAATTTTTCGGGGTTGCAGTATGATGAAAGCAACCAATATTATGGAAACTATAAAATATATTCCTAATGCTCCAGATAGCTTCCAAGAAGTGGGGTGTATTAAGGGAATGCAGGTGGTACATCGTGTGGATGGAAGAAATCCTGCACCAGTTGATAGGTGGTAAACATCCCATTATTTTACAGGGTTTCCACCATCCACAGAGGGACGTGTTTTCACAGAGAGGTTCAGAATTGTTAGAAGTTGAAAGGAGGAAATTGAACTTCAGGCCCCTGTATGCGTTGGCAATACCCTCTGGTAAACTAAGATAACTATGGTTAAAATCACCATTTTAAATTGGTAAATCAACATAAATCAACTATATAGCTGTGATTTAAATCAACATAAATCAACATAAATCAACATAAATGACCACAGCTATTGGTAATGAGCCATTTTCAATAGCTGTGGTCATTACCAGAGGGTTCACCGGGCTTCAGCGTTCAGCCGCATGGCAGCTGGAGGTGATCTCAGCGCCGAGACCAGCTGGCTGTTGTTGTTTCATCCAGGAATCCCTGATAAATGGGGGGGTTCTCGCTGCTAAAATCCTTGGAGAATCGCAGGAAAATACGGGAAAAACAACTATATCAACTATAAATGGAGGTTTCTAGCTGGGAAAATCATCTATAAATGGGGGGAGTTTTCATTGCCATGTTTGAGCACTGGCCAGAACTACAAATTACCTTTTTGGGAGACCACATGTTTGTTCCACATCAGCAGCACATTCAGCCGTACGACACGAGGTGAAGGTGGTCTTGGGACGGCTGCGTCATGCCTTTCTGCAGCGTGGGGACCCAGAATTTTCGATGATCCGCAGGACATTTGGAATGAAAGTGGCACAGCCAAAATAATCCACGGCATATTGGTAATCATCCAAATATGTATAGTAATATGGGAAAATCAATGGGAAAATCAATGGGAAAATAACTAATTATCATCTCAAATTTCCTGGCATAATCCAAACAATTGAAGTGGGCAGAATCAAAGATTTGGGTTTGAATATCATCCAAAGATTGGTAAAGTGGCGCCATGTCTTTGCCATGTGTACGTTTGCGATGCTAGCACGGAATGGACTTCTCGAAGATGCGGCACGTCAGGATTTCGACGTAGCCTCGTAAACGTTTACAAAAAACTATGGAAAATCATCATTGTTAATGGGAAAACTCGCTATACATGGCCATTTTCCATAGCTATGTGACAAATTACCAGAGGGTAACTATGAAATCCAATACAGTACAGGTAAAGGTTGCTCAGATATATGGCAAACCTTTGACATATACTCCATATTAATGGACTATTTACCAGCATATCGTGCCCACCAATCAGCCCCTTTTTGTTGCTGGCGCCAGAAAAGCGGCGGTTTCCCCCATCCTGGATTATCTGCGGATTCATCGGCCAGAGGGTTTCCATAGTCATGGGGCTACCCCAATGGCTGGATGGTTTCGGAAAATCCCCATCTAAAATGGATGATTTATGGGGGTAGCCCCATGACTTAGGAAACGCCTATATGTTTGGATAGAACTATAGATAAACCGATGGTAGATACTACCATTATCTTATACCTTTTATCTGCCAATCTGCCATATGTTGTTGGTAAGTTCCCTGATTGAAGTTTGTTTTTCAATGGACCTTGTTTTTTTTGTCCCAGACTCTGTGGACATATTCCGAATGTGGATGGTGAGTTGCATCCGCAGCTCAGTGGCGTTTGATACCACCTATTTGGTACCTGGACCCCTCATCTAGGTCAATCTGCTGGATGGGTACAAACTAATCCTAACTAGTCTTTTGGTATCAATGGGAATATCGACTAACCAGCAAATAATTTAAGTTGTTGTAGGGTAAGATTGGCAATGTCATGGGCATCTTGGAGCATTGGCTACTCATTGATCATTTTGTTCCCGACGATTGCCAAATGAAACACCACTCACTTCTTATACAGCCCCCTAGCATGTCCCCATTGCAATCCTGTCCTACTGTGGATGGAAGAAATATTGCATCAGTTGATAGATGGATTATCCCATTATTATACAGGTAGATAGGGTTTCAACCATCCAAGGTGATGCAGGATTTCTTCCATCCACCGTATCATCCAGCGCCATTTTATCCCCGTTGGACATTGTGTCCCTATCATATCCCCATGATCCTCCATATATTGATATTTGATATTACCCTCTTGTTACTTAACATGGTCACGGAAAATGGCCCATCCATCGATCATTTATGATTACACTACATTATATTGACTACATACCTAGCAAACATGATGAGAAACGAAGCAAAGGGCACTTGATATGGAGATTTCCTAAAATGGGGGTCCCCAAAATGGATGGTTTAAAATGGAAAATCCCAATCTAAAATGGATGATCTAGAGGGCTACCCTTCAGGAAACCTCCATGTGATTTATTCCAAGTTCAATACATCAATCTTGGTAAATTATAACGACCTCATTGCGACCTCACTGGGAATGATGGTTGGTAGGGGTAACTATCCCCAAATGACCTTATTTCAGGTTAATGAATTATCATAATTTACCCAGATCAATACATCCCTTATGATTGGCTTCTCGAAGCCCTGGGCCCAGGTTGCAACAACCTGCTCTGCAACGTCGCCTCCAGCTGGCAAAAGCCATGATGTTGAAAGTGGGTGCCCAAGGTTTTTGGGGCAAGATGGTAACACTGGGTAATCCAATACTGGCGGTTACCATTCCCTTAGACTTACTGGTTGGTTGGTGGTTTGGAACATGGAAGTTAATGGTGGTTAATGGTGGTTAATAGTGGTTAATAGTGGTTAATAATGGTTAATGAGATATCTGGTTGGTGGTTTGGAACATGAATTTTAGTTTTCTATCTATTGGGAATAATAATCCCAACTGGACGAACTCATATTTTTCAGAGGGGTTCAAACCACCAACCAGAATATATTGTATCATTGGTTAGAAATCATTGGATAATGGTATCATTGTTACCATCAATATTATTGGATATGTGGCGCACTTGGGCTGAGGAGAATCATGACAAAGCTTATTTGTCCAGTTTGACTCGTGCCAGCCTGGGATGGTCAGACGCCAACACATTTCCGAATGGCCAGTGGGCCAAAGGCCATGTAACAACAAGTCTGACAGAATTCTTTTTGGATTGGGCAAATGCGCAGGACCTGACCGCGGATCCTCTGCTTGGTTTGTGCAAGGAGGCAGCCTTGTGCATTGCAACTGCGCTGAGGGTTCTTTACAGATCAGACGTCTGGCTTCCAAAAGATGTGGCACACATCATTGCAGACAATGGGCTCCGTTTTCTGAGCCTCTACCGAATTTTGTCGGTGCGATCTTAGAGCTTTATTCAGCCACATGCCCAAGGGCCATGTGATGGGCCACATTTTCATTTCGGTCAAGATCTCAGCTCTTGCCCATGACTACACTCTCTCGCCACTCTGCACGTCAGTGCAGATGGACGAGGACTACATCGGCCGAGTTTCGAGATTGAGTCGAAGAACAAATCCAGGTCAGACTGTGAAGCGAGTGCTGCAGAGGTGTTTGATAGCATCATACAAATACTGGAAACGTGCTCGCATGATAATCTCTTGAAAGTGGATGGCTCAGCTGATGTGCTGGGCGCGGTTTGATCGATATATACATTGCGCAAAATAAGGGAAACATTGTTCCTGTTCGTGCCGCTGTCTGTGTTTGGGGGCAACCGTGGGTGGTGAATTCATATATATATGCATATATATATATATGCTTATGTGCATGGACATATATATATATATATATATATATATGTGCATGGTTTTTGTGTGCATGTACAAATACATACGTCGAGACATATTTGACATGTATTATATACAGTTATACAGGCATGCATAAAGAATATATGTGAAGAATGTGAAACATGTTGTCTTTATATACGCATGCATATGTGCACGGTTAGGCCTTACTTGAGATTTTGCCAAGTGGCAGGAAACCCAGAAATCCAGCAAAATCAAAAACATCGTGCTTTCCAGAGAACATCGTGTTTTCCAGAATATCATCAAATTTGTGGACCTGCGAATTCATGGGATCCAGATCCCATGGTAGATTGTGATAGTAATTATATATATATATGTAATTATTATTGTTGGGAATGATCATTATTGGGAAAATTATAGTAACCCCCCAATGTCAGGATAGACAATTAGACAATGAAGCACCCGGATGGTGCGCTTCGATGGTTTCTGTTCCTGGGATATGTTCAAATGTGTCCAACTGTTCTGTCTATTTGGGGGTTGGTATACATGATAATGATAGATATGGATGATTAGATATTCTCATTCAATTAGATTATCTAACCCCCAATATCTATGTTTTCATGTTAATATATCTAATCTATATTTTTGGATGATAATGATTGGATAATCACTAGTATATATGAAAATTATTGGATAATTACTAGTATTCAATTGGATATACAAGTAGTATCTAAGTACTGTCATGTGATTGTTCATTATTATCCATTGATATGAAATTATTATCCCAAGGTTTATGGGGCATTAATGGATATTAATGGGATAATCATTGATAGTGAGCCAGGGGGTGTTAGTGGGACTATAGTGAGACAATAGTGTGATACCCTTTGGTATTCTAAGGCTAAAAAAAAAACAGGAATATTGTGGGACTTAACGGGACGTCATGGAACTTAATTGGGACTTAATGTGAGGTAGGGGTTTAACGGGTATACCGGAATACACATATTGACCAAACATATATCATATATGGTTGATTGGACATGATCATATATAACATTATATGATATATATATATATATAAACACATACATAACCATAAATTGACATATTCTGTTCATTGATGTTCCCGCCTTGCAAAAAATACCAAACATCCATGGGCAGAGTGACTTCAACGCCCAGATTCTTCATCATCGAACTGAGCTTCGCATGGCCGCTGTCTGGTGGCAGCAGGCTAATCTGCAAGCCAAGATGGGATGATATGGATGGGTGGATAGATTAGATCAACTAGATAGATTAGATATTCTCATTCAACTAGATATGAAGTTCAGCAATAGCATGATAATATGGATTTCACCATATTTTCCCCAGTTTCTGGAAATCATCCCATGAAACCTATACTTTTACACCTCCTAAAATATGAATGGTGATACTAAAATATTCAGAGGATTTTTGTTCACCATATAGTTATATATATAATGTTATATATAGGGCTTTGATCCCAATAACATGACAAATATGAGGCTTGAAGTGCCATGGTTATACGCATGAATTTCACCTAAACTGCAGCCTCAAGTATGGGATGATACCTAGATCTTCGGGCCAAAATTTCAGCAGCTGTTTGATCAGCCTAAACAATGGTTCGGGCCAAAAAGCGGCCTGAGGGCGGAATCTTGAATATAGGCAATTTTAGCACTCTTTGGCAACATAAACATGTATTGCAATTTGGGTCAAAAGGTGTGAATTGTGGCTGATACAACCTGCGACATGATCCAGTGTGCATTGCAAAGACCACACACATCGGGCAGAATATGAAAATTTGTTGAAAGAAACCTCAGGCGGGAATTGGCACGAAACGGGCGGGAATTGGCCCGAATCGGGCGGGAAACTCCGTACCACTGATTTTCAAGAATGACAAGTTGGGTTTTTTTGTGGTGCCGCAAAACGTTCAATTTGAAAAAATATGCTGCTTCAAACCAAAACTCGTGAAACTGTTGACTGCGTGGTATCACATCACAACAAAGGATATCAAACAACCTGGGCCAAAACCCCAGGCAAAAAAAAAAATCGGGCAAAATCAGTTGCAAAGGTAGCATTTTCTGCGACAGAAAATATGAAAACAGGAAGTTCTCGGTAATGGATAGGGGATGATCATCTGGGGAATGGTGAGTGCACCTGAGGTTTTCATCCCCTACATCCACCATGGTTTCTGGAGGATGTTTATCCTAGTATAAATATATATATATATACTGTATACATGTTAACATTACATATGGATACATATGGAGGATGGGATTACTATTCATCGTGAAGTATCTATGATTTACTTACCATTTTTCACCATTCAATCGTGTGATTTCCCAGCAAAGTTTTGGTCTCAAAGGTGGGCATCACATCCTGCGCTACACTTTTCATCATCAACTGGCTGGGGAGGTTCAAACATTTCTTGCAATTGTTACATAGCTGAAAACGGCCCATCTGGTGGTTTTCTATAGCTAGACTATGAGAGGGTATGTTTTTTTAGCGCCATAGTTGGGATGATTGATGGTTGAGATATGTGACGGTTTTCAGTGGTTTTCACATATTGTTGGGATAGTTTTTTCCTACCACAAACCAGACCCAGACCTTAGAGGTGCGATTTGTTCCCTGCGGTATATCATTGAACATGGCAACATAGCTATTGAAAATGACCCATGTATAAACGATTGACTTATTAATGTGAATTTCTATAGTTATGTTAGTTTACCAGAGGCTACCCTTGATCCATACCCAAAATGACAAGTTGTAGACCAGGCCACTGTTTACGTCCGGATCACTGGTGAACGATCCATACCTTTTTTTTAAACCGTACCAATCTAGTGATGTATGCATATACATATTATATATACACACACACATTTTAATGCTTACATACATACATACATATATATATATACATATTATGTATTTACATATATATATATACACATGTGCATGCTTGGCAGTGTTATTGTTTCTTCATGTGTTGTTTAATCCCAAACATGGGATGAACCCAAGAGACTGCATCGCATCTTTTATGTCTCCAGATTCCCGAGCAGGTTCATCTTCGTTCAGTCTTTCGGTGAACACAGAAGGGAGGTGGCGGGTGCTGACAAAGTTGAGGGAATATATAGATTGGGAAAAATGTGCTTTGTTCACTCTCACATGTGCGTTTGAAACAACGATACATGCGATGTATGATATATATATATATATCTATCTATCTATCCATATGTAGTTATATATATATACACATGTATATAAATATATAATTATGTATATGTATGCATACACATATATATATATACATATATATATATATTTATATATACGTCATATAGAATCAAATCACGTGTTTCGCAAACAAACAAAAAAAGACAAGTGTCCAAAAGGTTGTGTACCCCAGTATCTTGTCATTGTTACAAGTATTTTTTCTATGATGTTCCATCTTTAATTTAGAGAAACAGAGTTTTCAAAGACGGGATGGGTGATGTTCAGTGACCTCGTGGCTTCATGAGTCTCATGGCGTGATAATCGACAATTTTTTGGATTTTGTAGAAGTTGCTTAGATTTGAATAGAAAGTGCCCAGAATTTGTTGGCGTTTTTTTCCAAAAAGGCCAATTCTATGGCCAGTTGTCTCTTGAATTCCGGATTTGGATCCAGGACATATCTGAAAAGCTGACACACGTTGGCGAATTCTTCCATAACAGAGTTTCCATGGGATATATGATAGTATATGATCTATGGTAATATAATATGATGTTCCAATCATATCTATATATATATATATACATCATATATCTATATAATGCTAAGAGTGTCTAACAGTCTAACATCTTCAGAGGCCTTTTCCAACAGCTCTCTTGGAACTTTGTGGCTTGCTTTTGAGCTACAAGACTCCGTTGTCGGCAATGAAGTCGGCACCATTGACTTTGACAACAAGAAGGAACCATTGATTCTGATCAGAATTCTCCAACACCCCCTGAAGGAGATCAAGAATAGTGGGAAAACTGGAAGATCCTGGAAGTATATAACAAGCATCAATAAGATGCATAATGTTACATATGAACTGCCAAATCTTGATGGTCGTTTTCTATCCTTTTGGGGGGTTACGAAAAACGTCCGTCCCATCCTTTGCCAAGTTTCTTCTTGCTGAGGCTTTCCTCGGTTGGTTAGAGGCAATGGGATCGAGGAGACAATGTTTGAATGGTTCAAAGCTTGAGAAGATCAATACAGGTGACCACTTTTTTTATGAACATTTGATGAATAAACCCAACCATAATGAGGGTATGATGGGATGATATGGGATGTAGTAATCTATCACTGATTGTAGAAATTGTATAGGACATGTGCAGATGTTTAGGCGTAGATGTAGAGGTTTCCTGTAACACTTCCCTTCAACCAATTCTAGGATTGAAGATCCAATCACATACGTTCGGCGTGTTTGGTAGTGAAGGCAACAATTTTGACCCGTTCCCAGTTGTTGAAAGGGTGATGTTGGGAAATGAATGAATGGAAATAACCTTTCCGAGTTCAACAAATTTAGATCAATCACATCAATAACTGCCAATATTAAGTGTCAAGCACTATCATGCACTATCCAATGTTGGTATCGCCACTCCAGCTGACATGGACAGTGCAGGAGATTTGGGCACTTACCAGCGCCTCCGGACGTAGCGTCCGTCTCTTCCGTCGATCTGGTGCCTTGCGAAGTGGGTGGTGGAACTAAAACTGGGCGATGAATTGGGGATTCTAGTACTGTATTGTTTGCTGTGGCTGTCATTACAATGTATATGTATACCAAGCCACCAAAAAAAACAGTAGTAGGAACAGTGATGTATATAATCAATAGACATTTTAATGGGAACATTCACTATTTCTATGGCCATTTTCACTAGCTTTTTGTATGTTTACCAGAGGGTAACCGACAAGATACGGGGGATATGGGTATGGGTCAAAGCCTACCAGGATTTAGATCCATAGCCACAGGGTCGCTGCCACCGGGATGGTTTGAGATCTCTAAGATCACAACTGGTTGGTGTTTTTTGGATACATGTAACATTTTAACGATGTTTTCCATATTCAGATAGAGATTTTGCGCGTGACATATATATATATATATATATCTGTATATATATATACATATTGAGGGCGTGGAAACTGTGCTAGGCTATTGGTTTACCCTCGTTATTGGCTTACCCTTGTAACATTAGGGAAGACAGTAGTTGCTTGCACGATTGCTCGGACTGTCAATCGATGTGGTGGATGTTTATTTCGCCCAGACGGTTACAAAGTGGTGCCCAGTTATAAGTATCCTCACAACCTCCAATTCACCCGATATAACTACCATAAACCATCAAAAACCCAACAGTTGTGTGAAATACACCAACTTAGCATAAATCCAGAGAAAGCCGCCATATCAACTACATATACTACATATATATATATATATCCATGTGGTGGTTAAAACGGTTAAATCACAATCAATTTTGCTTGGTGGAATCCCTTCAACTAGGGGACTACCGGTGCTCCGTCACCCCGTTTCGCCTCCGGTGCTTAAGGCGTCGCCCTTCGTCCTCCGGGGCGGCTCGGGTGGTGGCGAGGTGAGGGACTTGTTTTGTGCGTCGTTTTGGTGGTGGCTTTGGATGAACAACGCCCTGAATTTTGGAGGAAAATTCATGAAAATAGATAAACATAGGTGCTGAAACATGAACATTATGGAAAACATAGGTACATAAATAGATGAAAATAGATGGAATCATGAACATTATTAACACATATTAACAACATTATGGTTTCATATGGCTTTGGAAACCATCCTGAAGGGGGATGGTTATAGCAATCAATACTGGGATTTGGGGTTATTTTTTGAGGGATAAACAGCTAGTGAAGTGATGGGTTCTAACACTGCGTGATTGTAGCTGTGAGATTTTCTCCATTTGGGATCACCAGTGGTTTGTAATCTTCGGTTTTTTGGACTAACAATGGAATTTTATGTATATTCTATCGGATATACCATACCAACATATACCAACATTCTAGAGGCAACATTCCCATATTCAGAAAATCTTCGCATACCATGTTTTCATCGTACTCCAGACCTGGGTTTTGGTATGTTACTTTGATAGGCATCTCAGCTCAATCTGGAGGGAACAGTTGGGCCATGGCGAACCCACTGAATGCTTCCCCACAGCTTTCCATCCCCCACGTCGTTCCAAAGCAGCTGTGGACGCTGGATGAATTGAAGGCTGCTTTGATAAGGGAGTTTCCTCATTTGTCTACCGAAGAAGGACAGGGTTGTCAAAGGTAACGTTTTTAAAGGTTGGCTGAGTAAAAATTAGCCAGTTTCTTCCCCGGGGCCTCACCCAAGGTGAATTCGGAAAAACAGAACCCACTGGTGTGCCCCTGGAAGTTTGGGCTGGCTTTGATTGGAATTTTGGTTCTGGCCCCGAAATTTCCCTATGTGGTCTCTAAACCAGCCACGCATACTCAGAATTCTTCGCATTCCATAAATTCTTCGCACTCCACATGGGACATCGCACTCCACAGCTAGGGACGTACACATACTGTAAAATCCACGCACTCTGCAAAATCTTCGCACTCCATAAAACCGTCGTACTCCGTGTTTTTTTTCTTTTCCGTTTTTTTCCCCCGTTTTTTTTGGCAAAAATCGCCTGGAATCACGTTTTCTGGAATATGGGCAAGGTAGCGGTTTCGCGTGAGACGTCTGTAGTTTCACATACTATCGCATTCCAGGCCTTTTTTTCCAAAAAAAAAAAGAAAAAAGGAAAAAAAAGCTCAGCAGGGTGAATTGTGATAATTTTCTGGTATATGATGGAAAAAACAGGGGTTGGATCCAAAAAGAAAGTCGAAGGGAGCCGAAGGGGGCCACGCATACTGTTTTATTTTCGCGTTCCAGAAAATTAGCGCACTCCAGGGGTGGCATCGTACTCTATCGGTGGAATTATTTTGCACGGAAGAAAACAGGATCGTCGATGATTTGTGTTCCCAGATCCTGTTGTGCAGAGCTCTTTGCGGGGCCACAAAGATGTCAATAAAGATGGGGATGGCGCTGCTGGTGAAAGGCCAGCCAAGCGTGCCAGAACATAAGCTGAAAGCTTATGAATTGGGTTTTGAGATCCTGAAAAGTGTAGATGACAAATTCCCATAAGAACGTTATTAATCCATTTTTGGAAAGCACTATTGATTATGACGTTTCCAGAAATTGTTGAAAGTAAGGATCGTCTTTGGGGAAGAACATGCGCAGTCGACAACGTACGTGCCAGAAGAAAAGGAGTACGCGGCAAACTGTATGAAAAACAAATTTCACCTGAAAGGGGTCTTCGCAATTCCCTGAAATTTCCCAGCTATTTTGGCATGGAATATGCTCGGCCCTGGAATATGGGCAAGAAATTGCTAGAAACATATACCAACAGTAGATTGTGGTAATTACCTTGATCTTATGGAGATGTTTTGTGATGTTCCCATTGTTCATCCACCACTCGTGCTTCATTCCAGAGAGCACCACCATTCGCTTCCGCAGAAGGTGCACGAAGATCTACAGGGTAAGCCGTGCACCAATTTCTGGGTAGATAAACCGTTTCATCATGAACATATACCATCGATGTAGCATGATCAAAACGTGATATATATATATATATATATAATATATATATATATTATACATGTTTCCATAAGTTCGAGAATTGTCATCCTCCCATGAAAAGTGGTGTTATAAGCCTATTATTATTGAATATTGGTTAAACCCTGCTATTCGTTGGTTAAACCTGATTTTTGTTGGACCAGTTCTCGAGGAGTCCTCTCTGGTGAGATCGCATCAGATTCGGAGGCACGAGGGCAGGTGGTTGGATCGGGGGCTAAGTATTGGCACAGGGAAGGAGGGGTACTTTAGTGCAACTTGTTTTTTTCCATGGGATTTTATACATACTTTTAGCTTACATTGTTTTTTTTGCAAGGTATAATCGGGGATACCCCCCAAACTAAATAGTGGTTTAGTATTTGATCCATTGATGAATTGATTTCCCAACTGTTTAATTTATTATTGGTGGACGGGAGAAAAAAAACTGTGAATCATCATTTTTCCATGCTATGTCCATCCAGTTCCTACCATGGGGATTGTCGAAGGTTATCGACTGTTATTGCATCGATCTCAGAGCGATGGAGATTCTAGCTGAACGCATTTTTCAATGATTCATTTTTTTCAAATAAACTAACCGCGACATGTTCGGAATTCCCGCAGCGCCGCAGCGCCTTATGTGTGATCCCAATCGATGTCAGCAGTTTCAAGGATGCTTGGAGAGTTCATGGTGCTAAGTTCATAGCCTCGCAACAGAGCATGATTCAAAGAATCCGTTGAACTATGTGGTACCACATGGTACCACTACATTCAACAAGCCCCACTTAAGACAGATTGGAAAAATGATTGGATGTGATATTTTGGACACTTATAAGACATTTTGTAAATGATTCATTGATGTTTTAACATTTGCCATTTCGAACATGCATGCTTCACGGTCTCTTCCAGATTAAAATATGTTTCAACATTGAGGAAGAATCAAGACTTGCAGGCATCTTGTTCATTCTTGTTCTACATGTTGCATCATGTTGCTAGAAATATGGACGAATTCCACAGCTACCCGACGTGGATGTTTGGGATGCTGGCTGCAAATGGGCGATGCTAAAAAACTGCTAGAAATATGGTGCTCCATGGCATGATCCGCCACCTGGTGGCGCACCCGGCTGCCACCGGTGAAAATGAAGGCTAAACATTTGCGTGGAAAGCGCTGGGAAGTGGCGGATGCTTCATGTGCAATCTGAGCAACATTCCAGCATGCAGCAGGCGTTGACTCAGTTCAAAGCGTTTGCTGGTCAAGGGCAGCCTGACAAGCGCGTTGGCAAGGGCAGGGAAAAACATGAGTCTTGGAAAGTCCTTAAAAACCCGGTAAACCCTAATGTTGGTTGAAGGTTTAGGGTCTGCAGAATTAAAAGGTATCACGTGTTAGCACATGTTAGCACCATATTATCACCCAAGTATTTTACACACTGTTTATTGTGTTCACCTTTTTGCAAGTTCATCTTCTACTCCAACATCAGGTGGGATTTGTTCAACGCGACCAAAAGGTTGGTCGAAACATGCCGCTCGGAATTGCACACTTTGAACCCATTAAATGTGTTTTTTTTGTGCCCAAAATCGAGACATTTAAAGTTTGGTTCCAAGTCCGTTTCAGAGCCGAAGATCCAAATTTAACTCATCCATTTGCTGTTGGGTCGACAGGCCACAGCTTTGGTGGATGCCGTTTTAAACAGCTCGTTGGTTTTAAGTGATGTTTGCATCACAAAAAACAACATTTCAACATATCCATTTATTTGCATGACATCTGCATGTCTTTGTTTCACCTGGTTCGCTTCCGGCCTTGCGTCTTCCGCAGGCGTTCGGGGCGCTCCTCCCGGGAGGCTCAGCAGGAGGCGGTGTTGGTTTTTCTGATCGACCAACGAGACCGGTTAGTATTTGAAACCTTGGTAGTTTCAAATTTACCTACCCTCTGGTTATGACTAACATATCCATGGAAAATGGCCCATTTATAGATGATTTTCCCATTAAACCCTCCATTTATAAGGGATTTTCCATGGCTATGTTAAATAACCAGATGGTATATATTGATGGTTAGTTTGCTTTTGATATCTTTTGATGGTTTAAGCTTGATGGTTTGATTAACAAACAATAAATGGGGATATGACAAATCATCAGGGTTTAACCAAAAAATCTAATAACAGGCAAGGATAAACAAACCAGAGAGGTTGATGACTAGTGAACATACACATTATTGGGAATACACAATGATTATATAGCATGGTTTGATGGGGATTTAAGCAAAGGAAATATGGTTGATATAATTATGAGTGGTTGATGATTAATTAACATACCACCGACAATAATATGGACATTTGATGGACATATCATGGAAATATTATGGACTAGCAAGTCGTTTGTTTCATGGACACTGATGTTTCATGGGGATATTGAATAATGCCCATGGATTACTTATATATATATATAGATTCTAGTGAAGACTTCATAAGTGTTTACATTTTTTTAGAGGACATGAACATATTGACACATTATATTTGGATAACTATTGCAGGGGGGGATATATCCAACATACCAAGGATTACCCTCTGGCAATTTACCCTCTGGTAATTTAACGTAGCTATTGAAAATTGCCATTTATAGCGGATTTACCCATTGAAAATTGTTGTTTTCCATAGTTATGTTAGTTTACCAGAGGGTAACATAGTTACTTCAAATGCGCATCAACAGTTCATTTACCTTTAAAACGGGTGATTTTCCAGAGGATGGGTAAATCAAATTTATGAACTGGGAAACCCTTTTTAAAAGATGTTGAGTTATTTTCCAAGTTCTTTTATGCGGCTTGGAAACCACCCATTTGAGAGGGGTGACTCAGTACTGATGGCACCAAACATTGCAATGGACAATTTTGCAATGTTCTATATCACATTATACCAATGATCACCTTGTAATATCATGGATACATCATGTACATCAAACATGGATACATAACTGGTTTGTGGTTTGGAACATGAGTTCTATTTTCCATTCAGTTGGGAATGTCATCATCCCAACTGACGAACTCATATTTTTCAGAGGGGTAGGTCAACCACCAACCGGATAATTATTAACCATCATTGACCATTAATAATAACAATTAATATTAAGCATCAACCAATGGTAGGTAGGTCAACCACCAACCAGCCATAGTTAATCAATGATTAACCATCATTAACCACTATTAACCCCCATTAACCACCATTAACCACTATTAACCACTATTTTTCAGAGGGAACCAGACAATATCCATGATATTCCCACTGTTGTCGGTTTGTCATCACCGATGCTTCCGTGGCCTCGACCAGGTAAACGAGGGCCCCCTGAATTTCCTGCTGCGGGTGCAGCAGGAGAATTTCGCTGTGTAGATAGGTTGATGTAGTAAGGTTTATAGTAAGGTTTATATGTAGTATACACATAATCTGTATATAGATATTTTTTTACGCATGTACAAGTAGTTTATATGTGTGTATAAATATATATATATATATCATATGATATTACTATGTGAGTATATATATATATATGCGCTGGTTTGTCCGAAACAGGGTGAGACTATCCATAAGAAACCGGCACATCTTGCGAGAAGTTTGGGAGTATCTGAGGAATATTTATTAAGGGCCCAGGGTGAAGATAAACTATAGTTTCCATTCAGACAATTGGGATATAGTTCCTGCAAGAATGGATTCCATTATGTACTTATCTATTGTGAAAAGTATGTATCATATATACACATCAATACATATACATAATGCATATAAGCCAGTCCGCCATTCCCCCAATCAGACGGAGGGTAGTTTCAGTGTTGGGAGGGTTTTCTCTTAGGGCTGCAGAGGCTTATCATGTAAGGCCCAGGTGCGGCCGGGTATACCCGTGGAAAGTTCATCTTCACTCAAGTTTTGCTTAGCAAAATCCATGTTTGAAGCTTAAAAATGGCGATTTAACCACAAAAAAACTCACTTTTTGTGGGTTTCCATGGCTGAGCTCACAGGTGCCGTGTCAGGACTCACACAAGGTGGTGCACCAAATTTATAAGTTGGCTTATAAACCCCATCTGGTTGTTGGTTTGGAACATTTTTTATTTTTCCTTATATTGGGAATAATAATCCCAACTGACTAATATGTTTCAGAGGTGTTGGAATCTTGGCCCTCTACTAACAGAAACTTGCCATGTTGTGTAGCCTGCGGATATGGGGACAACTCCGCCCATCATTGGGGACGATTCTGTATTGTACCAGTGCTAGTGTTGAACACTTTCCTCTCTGACGCCCGGGCAGCTACATCACTTGATCAGGTAGCGTGCTCGGGAAGCACAGGATGCATTCTGGCCAGTCACGTACTCCACCAATTTAGACGACTGCTCCTGGAACACGGAGGTATGCAGCACACTACTTCCTCCGTATCCCTTAGTATCACGGAGTGGCTCACCCGACTTCGCGACAACTGCATTCAGGCCATTCCTGTCCGATATCTACATGACCGCCTCCCCAATATGGGCAGCCGACAGGATAATACTGCTGCCGAAGACCAACCATGCCTCATGCAAGTCACTAACAACGATGCTGTTACGCTGCAAGCAGTAATGCTTCCTAAAACCACCAACCAGATAGTATAGATATATCATAATATAAATCTACCATACACCACAAGTGAAGCTACGTTGCACGATGCCTCCCCATCGCCTTCTCATCCCAAATTTCATCGAAGATCAGAAAGCTCAGTCATGAAAATTGGCTATATTAATCTATACCAGTACCGCACAAGGCGGTGGCGGAAGTTTCAAAAATAGGAAACATATAGGAGAGATTGGTTGTTGTGAATCACGTATGGCAGAGCGAATCCACTGATGGACCGAAAGGTGGTTGGAGCTATGTTTTTTGGAGTGGCTCCAATGATTGCAGTGTTCACCTGGTCGGTCACCTCACCCACAAATGATGGATGTAGTGTGGTGTAGTGCAGCTGTAGTTGTAGTTGTAGTTGTAGTGTAGTGGAGTTGTAGTTGTGGTGTAGTGTAGTTGCAGTTGCATTTGTGGTGGTGTAATGACTGTAGTAGTATAATGTAATGTAGGGTAGTGTAGTGAAGGGGAGTGTGATGTAGTGTTAAGTAGCGTAGTTGTAGTTGTAGCTGTAGTTCTAGTTAGTGTAGTTTAGTGCAGTATAGTGTAGTTTTATGTAGTGCAGTTGTTGTTTTTGTTATGTGGCGCAGTTGTAGTTGTAGTTGGTGCAGTGGAGTGGAGTGGAGTGGAGCGGAGTGGAGTGGAGTGGAGTGTAATTAGCGTAGTGTAGCCTGGTGTAATGTAATTCGTGTAGTGCAATGTAGAGTTGTTGTATTTGTAGTTGTAGATGTAGTTGCAGTAGTTGTTGTAGTTGTAGTTGTAGTTGCGGTTGCAGTTGTAGCTGTAGTTGTAGGTAGTGCAGGTAGTGCAGGTAGTGTAGGTAGTGTAGATAGTGTAGGTAGTGTAGGTAGTGTAGGTAGTGTAGGTAGTGTAGGTTGTGTAGGTAGTGTAGGTAGTGTAGGCAATGTAGGTAGTGTAGGTAGTGTAGGTAGTGCAGGTAGCGTAGGTAGTGTAGGTAGTGTAGGTAGTGTAGGTACTGTGGTGTGGTGTAATATAGTGTTAGTTGTAGTTATAGTTCCAGTCGCAGTTGGAGTTGCAGTTGCAGGTGTAGTCGTAGTGTAATGCCGAGTAATGTAGTGTAATTTGCGCAGTGTAATATAATTAGTGTAGTGTAATGTAGTGTAGTTGTAGTTGTAGTTGTAGTTGTAGTTGTAGTGTAGTGTAGTGTAATTGAGTGTAGTGTAGTGTAGTGTAGTGTAGTCAAGTGGAGTGGAGTGGAGTGGAGTGGAGTGTAGTGTTGTGTTGTGTAATTAGTGTAGTGTAGTGTAATGTAGTGCAGTTGTAGTTGTAGTTGTAGTTGCTGTTGTAGTTGTGGTTAGTGTAGTCTAGTGTACGTAAGTGTAGTTGTAGTTGTAGTTGTGGTTAGTGTAGTCTAGTGTACGTAAGTGTAGTTGTAGTTGTAGTTGTGGTTAGTGTAGTGTAATGTAGCGTGGTTGTAGCTGTAGTTGGAGTTGTAGTTGTAGTGTAATGTAGTGGAGTGTAGTGTAGTGTAGTGGGGGTTGTAGTTGAAACTGCTACAAAACCTTCACGGCTTGCTCACTTTTGACAAGGTGCACAATCCCTTGCCCCTCCCCCCGCAGTTTTTTGCACTTTTGACTTCGAAATGTTCTTCGCACCACAACGGCGCGCACTTTTTCGGCATGCCAACTTCCAAAAGTGCTCCGGGAACGTCAGTTTTTGATACTTTTGACTTGGAAATGTGCTTCGCGCCACAACGGCGTGCACTTTTCCGACATCTCAACTTCCAAAAATGGTCCGAGAATGGTGTGCTTTGTACATTTTGACTTCCAAATGTGCTTCGCGCCACAACGGCGTGCGCTTTTTCGACCTCGCAACTTCTAAAAGTGGTCCGAGCATGGTGTGCTTTGTACATTTTTACTTAGAAATGTGTTTCGCGCCACAACGGCGTGCAACTTTTCATCTCTCATCTGGCCAGATGGCTCCGCACCCGCCGCTTTAGCGAGCCTACTTTTCGACCCTCCGGAGCAATGAATCATTGGAAAAACATAGTGTTTCGCGACGACTTTCCTACCTTTTCGCGCTCCTAGATCTTCTTTCTTCTGAGACTTTCTCTTTTTTGATCTTCTTTCTTCTTTCTTCTTCCTTCTTTCCTCTCTTCTCTTCTCTTCTCTTCGATTCGCTTCCTTCGCTTCTTCTCTTCTCTTCTCTTCTCTGACTCTTCCCATCTCTGCTTTTCATCTATCCATATTGTCGGAAGTTTGACTTCTGAACTTCCTTCGGTTATATAATGGTTTTACCGGTATAGCCCATTTTCAGTCACACTTGTCTGAAAAATCCCAATCAGATCCAATCGGAAAACCTGGAGATCCGCAATCAGACATTCATTGGAGTTATCGCTTCCAGGTAAAACTGCAAATTTTCGAAAACGGTAACTGCTTTATTTGCGCTCTGTCAGCCAAAAGAGAACCTAGCGGAAAAAATGATTTGAATGACATCAAATTTGATTTATTTGTTAGCACAATTGCAATCTTTGCGAACATCTACACATTATTGTGTGATGATAAACAACATGATAAGACTTTAGACAGTTCTCACAGCTGGAATGATGATGATACTCCTAAAAGGTGCGCTTTTAAACAACCCAGCTTTTGGCAAGTCGTGGCACGCGTGCCCCGCAGGAAGGATTCCGCAGATGGTGGCGTGCGACTTGCATGGACATCAGTGCAAAGGACAGCTGAAGGTAAGGCCAGCAGCTATATCCAATCACCATTCCGGTACCTGGGTATTATAAGAATATCTTGGGATATCTTGGGATATACCGGCAATGTAACGGAATTCCCATAAAATATTCCCATACATTTAATTGGCATGCAGTAGAAAAAATGGATATCTGGTTAGTTGTCTATACTATATTCCACACATATAAATTATAGATGTAAACCCAACCCAGACTTTTGGTTCAATATCTTTTATAAATGATATAGGTACCCCTACATCATCCATTTTCACAAGATTTTCCGTTCGAAACCATCATTTGAGGGTACCCCCATATGAGGAAACCCCGAAAAACCATAATTAACCATTATAAACCACTTTTAACCATGATTAAACGCTATTAACCATTATAAACCATTTTAAGCTATTATGAGCCACTATAGAAAACATGTCAACTATTTGAGGAAACCCCGATATATCAAGGTGGAAGTTTGATCCACCTCGGCCATCGCAGGAACTGTTGCTCCAACGCCAGCGTGCAGCGATACTGGTGCGCGGCAGGGGTGGAGATGATCCCTTAGGGGGAATAAGAAGTATAGATCTATATATATATATTATTTGTATTGTATATAATATTTATATATAATATAATATTACATATTATATTATATATTTTACTTATTATATATTTATTATTATTAATTTTCTATTTTTTAATATATATTTTACATTTTATATATGTTATGTTTTTATGTTATGATATATATATATATATTAATTTATTATGTATTATTTTCTATATATTTTATTTAATATATTATATATATTATATATAATATATTATATATATTATATATTTTATTATATATTATATATTTTTATTATATATTATATATTTTTATTTTGTATTTTACTCTTTATTATATATTAAATATTAAACATTAGTTATTTTCTATTATTGTTTTTTATTTATTATTTATTAAATATCATATATTATTTTTATATAATATATTTTATACTACCTTTCTTTTATTTTATATTTTATATTATTTGTCATATATTATATATTATATATTATATATCATTTTTTTTATATTTATTATTGCATATTATATATTATATATTTTATTTTATATTTTTTTATCATTTTCATATATTTTATATTATATATTTATTTTTATATATTAATTATTATATATTTTATTTTATATTTGATATTTTATGTATTGTATATTATATATATATGTTTTTTTAATTTTTTATTACATGTTATTTATTATATGTTTTTTTGAAATATATAATTTATATATATATATAGTTTAAATATATATATATATATATATAGTATATATAATTTATTATATATATGTGGTTGGTGGTTTGGAACGTTGAACATTTTTGTTTTCCATATTTTGAGAATTTCATCATCCCAACTGGACTTTCATGTTTTTCAGAGGGATTGAAACCACCAACCAGTATTTATTTATATATATATATACATATTATCTATATGTTATAGTGGTTTGTTGAGCAATTGGACCAATTATTGTCCGCGGTTTCTTTATATATATATATACATATACATTATATATATATAAGGATGAAATGGATGAGAAGGGGATAATAATGGGAGAATCATGGTATCTTGATTATTGTATCTGAATTTGAATATGTATGTCATGTATAGTCTGGATGAATTATGATGACCTAACGCCAGTGACGTCACTGGAATTATGCTTAGTAAGGGAAATCATCCCCAAATGGTCTTTTGAGAACAGCTATGTTCAGGTTAGTGCATTAGTATGATTCAGCCAAATATATGTGTTTGTTGAGACAAAACTTATATTCAATATATGTGTGCGTAATAATGCGTAATAGTATATAATCATATGTATCAGATGTATATGTATATGACCCTCCAAACACTCTTAAAGAAGTGGTATTTTCCCTCATATGTTTAGGATGTTTATATAGAGATGTTTATGTCTACAGGAAGGGTCTATGCCGCCGTCATGGAGTGATGAGTTGGAAATTTTGTGTCCCTAAAGGGAGATGACCCAACCATCAATTGTGGTATCCCCATGTTTTGATGGGAGATCGTTTGCTTAGTTTAGTTTGCACCATAAATCCCATGAAATCTGCGTGAATGCAGATATTTAACCTGAACAGTTCGGTTGGTGAGTTTCCTAAGATTCAACCAGGGTATAGTTTGCAGCCTTTGTTGGCACCCCGATAAACTATCCCAAATGGTTTATGTTTTTGTTTGAACATTTATGTCAACTAAAGTAATCACTGGGTTATGTCAGATTAGTTGATACCAAAGTTAAATCAAAAAAATTGGTTGATTTAGCACCAGTTACCCTCTGGTTATTTAACATAGCCATGGAAAGATCCACCATTTTTAAAAACGGTAAACCATCTATTTCAATGGGCCATCGAAAAACCATGGCGAACTGTGAATGTCATAACCAGAGGCTAGGCCATTTTTCCATAGCTGGCCGACACCGCTGGCCCCAAAAATGGCACCTCCTGAAATCAGGTCTTGCTACGTCAACGAACGCAGCATGCCATGGTTTGGTGGCCCAGGTGGCCCAGGTGGCCCAGGATGCGATGGCGAAGCGGCGAATGGTTCAGGTTTTTCCCGGTTGTAAACCAGTGATGTAACGTGGGAAGCCGCGATTGGTGAATTGGGTCATTTATCAATGGCCATTTCAGGAACCTAAATATGTCCTTACATGGTACAGTACCTCCATTTTAGGATCCTGAAATTCCCATTGAATTTATAAGACAGCATGGTATTTTTTGGTGTTTTGATGGGGATTTCTTTTCTGACCAGCTATGTTTGTTCGCATGGATGTTCTACGTTTGGCCACGGTATGTATTGTTGCAAAGCCATGACAAACAATTTCTAGTTGGTGGTTTCAAACATTTTTTATTTTCTATAATAAATTGGAATCATATTCCCAACTGACTTTCATATTTTTCAAGATGGTTAAACCATATTAAAACCATCAACCATGTTCTATTCCATCGCACTGCGAATGGACCAGGACACTGCCGTGTTTTTGCATAGCGATGGATCAAAATCCCATTCAAATCCACTGGCAAGTCCATTGACATCTAATGAAATCCCATAAAATCCTGATGAAATCCTAGAAATCCCTTGCTTTTCCGGCGAAGAACATCCGGCGCTCCTTTAAAGTACCCTCACGGGCCAGGCAATTGCTCACTCTCTTTGGTCCTTGCTGGAGAAGGCGGGTTTTTTTGACCGTAGCAGCCGATGGATTTTCATGGAGACCTCACCAACAAAAATGGGATTTTCAGACTGTAATGATGGAATATGATTGGTGATGGTTAAATTAAAAAATGATAAAGTGTAGAGATAAACATCTATACGTATCTGAGAGTGTAATGATGGAATATGTGTGGTGATGGTTAAATTTAAAAAATGATAAAGTGCATAGATAAACGTCTATATGTATAAAGTGTAATGATGGAATATGTATAAACAAACAATTTAGATGGAATATGTATAGACAAAGCTGATGATTTAACCATCTAAATATGGGGGTTCCGCCTTTCAACATGTGTTGGTTGTTTTTTGTATTTTAATAAGGAGGGTGATAAAGAACACGCATATAAATGATACTGTAAATACTATGAAATGCAAGGTTTTCAGGGGATACGATGTGGATGTGCTGGGAGCATATGAAATATAACCAATCTTTTGGTTGAGGTTAACACATTGTTGAGTAGTGACTAGTGATTTGGCTTGGCGGTTTGAGAATTGTGGGGCTACCTCCGCGGGAATCCCCTTTCCTGGAATGGGAATCCTGTGGGATTCCGAAGCACCAACCAGAAGCAACCAAAACCATCGGGCCGGTGTAAGCAAAATATCAACCAGAAACATCGTGGGTTGGGGAGTTTACACCATCATTTGCACCAACTAGTGGAGATCATCAGATGATTCATATCTCAGCCTTTTTGATTCCTATCAACCAGTGTTTTGTTGGTGTTATTCTTTTTGGTTGGGTAGTATCCACATGTTGGTGAAATCCGCCTGTTCCTAGCTCAAAGCCCTCAGTTGTTCGGTTTGATCAATTCCATGCCTCGATCCCATGGCACATTTTTTGACGAATAGAAACGGCTGGAAGGGACATAGATTTGAATCCTACGGCTGGATGATTGTAGGCAAGTGGCGCAACTACCCCATAACAGGACTGCCACATCCACGGGGTACCTGCTTTCAGAGGCCTTCAGAGGCTTCAGTTGTGGAGTTTCGGAGGCAGCTCAATTCGGCTTTCAGGGTGAGGGATTTAGTTCCACCGAGGGTTAGGGTCGTTGGGTTCCAAAAAAAATGAGGATAGCCATAACGGGGATACAATCGTGATTTTCTATCATAATGGGGCCTTAACCAACAATAATGCTGGTGTACTGGGATAGCTGGAAATATGATGGTGATAAGCTTGGAGAATATACTTGGAGGATAAGCCCACAGATCGTGACTGGTGAATTAATAACCCTGGTGTGAGTTAAAGTCTCCGATTCAAGGTTAATGTCAACCCTGGATTAATAAGTTTAATTGGGAGGGTACCATTTAAGTATCAGATTATGACTATTGGAGGAGTACCCAATTCATAAACCATGGTTTAGCAAAATCCGGGGTTGACATATATCACTTCCCATCTACAAATCCATGGTTATCCCAGAAGTGGACGAACTATCTGGTTGGTGGTGTGGAACATGCACTTTATTTTTCCATTCAGTTGGGAATAATCATTCCAACTGGCTAATATTTTTCAGAGGGGTAGGTATACCATGGTATACCACCAACCAGCTATAGTTTATCAACCGCTTGCGATTCGTTTGATGATCCAACGTGTTTTTATCAGGTGGCCAAAGACTTGATCCGTTGAAACGCTAAAACCGTAACTGGGTCCCATTAGTTGTATAGTAACTGGGTCCCATTCGAAACCCTAAATGACGATATGTGTATATATGTCTATGTGTATATATATATATATGTTTATATATAGGGAATATAGCAAACACAATGGTAGTCCAAGAATAAATGTTATACAGTATATGTTTTAGTTGTATTATGTTGTATTTTAGTTGGGGTATGAATGGAGTCGGTATGTACTACACATGGGGATTTAGTGGGATTTAACCTTGGGATTACGGATAAGTTTGGCCCAGCAATGAGAGATTTAGTTTGAGCATGGTAATGTGTATAGGAAAACGAGGATCAAGCATGTGATTTTGGGTAGCCTATCTCCAGACAAAGCCAGGATATCACTGGACCTGCAAAAGTGTATTGGTCCCCCTATTTTGAATTAATGAAATGTGTTTGTTAACAGATGAAGATCGTGGATGTTCCCCAGGTTAGAGGGGGGTATCATGGAATCTCATGTTGAGGAGTAATTAGGGTACCATCTATGGCCTTAGATGAGGTTCTACTCAGTCTCAATTCTCCAGAACCCTCTAGGACCCACAGCATTCCAACCCACCAAGAAACACTGGGTTTTATATCCCAGAGTTGCAGGGGCGCAACATGTCTTCAGAAACCTGTCTATTTCAGGGTTGAAACATGTGAAAGCAATGGTTTGTAAAAACACATTAACTAATCAATCCATGGCAAGTACATACAAAAATGGTTACCAGATAATTCCAATAGTCCATTAGGATCACTCCATTTACATGGGATAATTCCATTACTAAATCACTCCATTTCATGGCAATCTTTTGATCCGCCACCGCCAGGACTCAGACGCGGAGCCGCGGCCGTGCCGGGCTTCCCGGGCTTCCCGGCACGCCCGGCACGTCGCCGGACGAAAGAACGTGGAGAGGCGCAGTCGAAAGAGGATCTCTGGAGGATCTTTGGTGGTTTTCATATGGTTTGATAGGGTTTAATGGGATAAACATGGGATAGCAATGGGATAATCATGGGACAATCATGGGAAATTCATGGGTATACCGTAAACTGACACGTTGCTATGGAAAACCACATGTTTTTCTATATGTAATTCTTCTGAAATGGGCCATTTTCTATAGCTACTTTGGTTTATTGGAGTGTGTCGTCCAGTAAATTAAGATATTTGGACGCGCATTAACACCATACCAATTTGTAATTCATACCGGATTCATACCGCTAGAAACACCAGAGACAAAAAAAGTGCCTCATGCCCCCGAGGCAAAAAATAACGCCGCATGAGTTGTGTTTTGCCTCTGGTTGGTCAAAAACGCATCTGGAAAGAAAAAACGCCTCAAACACAAGAGTTTACCAAAGCACTTGGACTCCACATGGCCACTTTTGCAGTTGCAAAGCCCACAACTAGGGACCAAACCCCCTGACAAACAGCCGCATACTGCTGAGGATTTCGCATGATTTCCCATGTAATAAACGCTGCAGGAAAAACAATGCAGAAAACAAGCCCTACAGTACAGTATATATGTTTTCATACTTGCGCATTTCAAGTGTTGGCTTACATCGACATTGAGGCCCTTGGATTGTAGCTCTCAACAAAGTTTACAACAGGGAAAAAAAAACTACAAGACACAAAATACATGATAACACCTTTTGGACTTCAATTTTCAGAGTCCGTCCTTTTCCGCCGTTTTCCCCCCGCCTTTTTCCGCCGTTGTCAGTCCTCTGATTTTTCTGTTTTTCTATGTTTTCCCTGGTTTACCTTTGTTCTTTTCATGACAACAAAATTTGTTGTATTCACTTCCGTGGCCTTTTGGAAAGATGCTGCAAATGCCAAAATGCAACAAACAATTCCAGGCAGACGGCATTTGGTGGGCAATGACAGCCTCGCCGACAGATTCAGCCACGCAGAAGCTATGCCCCCAGTTTTAGGTTATGTTACGCTATTGAGATGTGGAATTGGATTTACCAAGGCTTTGAGTTCGCAGGTATTGGAATCAAAACAATGTCTGCTGTCATTTACCCATCCTAGAACAATCTATAGAACAGAAAAAAAAAAGGAAAATCGAGGATTACAAAAAAATGCATCAAAAAACAAAAACGCATCAGCAAAGCCAAAAATGCCTCAGATCAACTGGAGGCGCCGCAGACCCTCCGAGGCGTTTTTTTTGCAGTTTGGTTTTGCCAGGTATTACTACATTTTACTATGTTTTGGTGTCACTTTTGAGGGTCAAGGCGGATGTGGAAAATCCTGCACTTGTGTTGAAAAAATGACGGTTGTCAATTAACTGGAGAGAATATAACAGGGACATTATTAGTTCTGCAGCTATTTGGTGCATATGTTTTTTGCTGATAGAATTGTTCATCCTCGCCCACACAACAGTTAGTTCACCCTCCTGTTTGCGGCTTGCGTCTACACTTGTTTGCTCATCACATGCAGTTGGATGAAACAATAAAACCATTGAACACCCAAGAATTGTTGGCTCAACCCCCACATTTTCTACCGTTCCTGAATTCGTTTCCCCCACCACCTGATGTTTGGACAAACTTCTTAGTCAAAATCATGTGATCCGAAAAGGTCACGTGTCGTGTTTAAGCTCCAAAAGTCCCATGCATTCCTTGTGGCATGGCCAAAGCATTGTCTATGTCCCATCAATCAACTGGGATCTGTATACCCAAGCTATGTCAATCCCATGGTGATGTTTTACCCACCTCTATTCATGGCAATGTTCATGGCAGGAAAATGATGATCATCCAATGGATTTGGGGCTACACTGTAGAGAAGGCACGCTTCACGGAGGTGAGAAGTTTTTTCCCATGGTGAGGTAAAAAATCCTGGAGCCATGCTCTTCGAACTCGACCTCATTCCTCTTTGGAACGATGACCATGTGCCATTTCCATGGTCTGACTTCGACATTGAGAAGTGTGACGAGGCCGATTTGCGGCAAATCCAGCTCTGTTCCTCACCAAAGACACAGATGGCACCGCACGCCAGCGGAATGTATCCATGGGATCCTTTGCTGAGACCTCACGTCTATCCGCATATTAAATTATCAAATCGGCAGTGGCTGCTAAACCCCTGTTAGTTGATGATTGTAGGGGGTAATACTTTCCTTTATAGAATAGGCATTATCACCACCAACCAAAACTATTGGCATCCCCAACAAATGGATGAGAATACGGGTTAGAATTGCTTCAAGAATTTAATCATAATCCGTTTGCTTGTCATTCATCTATGAATTGGGAATCCCTTTGATTCACAATACCCTCCGGTAAATGTTTACAATACTATGGTTAAAATCACCATTTTGTAGCTGGGAAAACTCACTACTTCAATGGTCATTTTCAATAGCTATGTTTGACCAATTACCAGAGGGTAAATCCATCAATATCCCAGTATTATCCCATCATTATCCCAACCATATTAAACCATAGGCTATTTCATGTCAAATTACCAGTGGGTATGTGTTTTTTTTTTTTTCCAGAGGGTAAATCTGGACAAAATTGCTGAAGCATCCCAAGCTTCCCTGTTGCTGGGATTGTCAATCGGTCAATCCATGTGAATCCCAATGATTTCTGACATCCCATTGCTGGTTGATGAATTATCATCATTCATCATGGATAATTCCCATGGATCATTTTTGTTGGTTCTCTAAACAACATTATGTTTGGTTAAGTTTCTTTTTGGTTCGAGATGATCATGTTCAATGGTTATAAATTAGCGATTGGGTTTTATTAAAGTATCTATTCATTGATCAAGTATATCCCCAGCGTGCATATCATGAATATCATGAATATCATTTATATCATGTATATCGTGTATGTCATGTATATCATGTATTATCATGTTAATCATGATAATAATAATAATCATTAATATAATCGTCATAATCATCATCATCATCATCATCACCATCATCATCATCATCATCATCATCACCATCACCATCATCATTATCATCATCATCGTCATTATCATCATCATGTTCGTCATCGACACCGTCACCATCATCATCATCATCATCATCACCACCATCATCATCATCATCACCATCACCATCACCATCAGCATCACCATCATTATCATCACCGTCGTCATCTTCTTCATCATCATCATCATCACCATCATCATCATCGTCGTCATCACCATCACCATCACCAACAGCAGCAACAACAACACCATTACATCATCACCATCATCATCATCCTCATCCTCATCCTTATCCACCATCCACCATCCATCATCCATCATCCATCATCATCACCATCATCATCAGCATCAGTTGGGTTCGCCATCAAATCCATTGTTTATTTAGCCTGTTTTTGATTGGGAGATTGCTCAGGGGCCTGCGTGGCACCTCGGTGGGCGAGGTCCTACGCAAGGCGCGGTGAACGGTGTGGGGCCCGGTCGTTGGTGCTGAAAAACGGTGGATTTCACGAGTAGAAAAATATGTAGAAATGGTGAATGAACCAGTGAACGTGGTGATTGAACCAGTAAGAATGTTGATTTCAAGCATGCAGATGTAGACATCTTAATTTGGAAGCTAACCAGGAAATATGGTTGATGTACTGAAATAAAGAAAAGACAGTATGTTAATCCGCCCTGAAACATGCAGAAAATCCGGAAATTGTATAATATTTAGATGATCGAACAATATACGCAAACATGTATATCTAAGGAATTTGACCTGAAACAGGGGAACATTGGGATTGATAATATATATATATATACATACATACGTATATATATATATATAACCAAATAGCATGGGGACCAAAACGCATACTGGGAAATCATTTGTCAGCATAGAAATTGCTTTACGAGAATTTGTTGATCTAGTCGTCATTGGGTAGATAGATGTCCTATAGATCATATCAATCTATCATCAAAATCTAGCATAGATAGATCAACAAATTTCATCATTTGTCAACCAGCTGAAAAGGACAACAATGCTTCATTCATAGATGTCCTTTTCAGCTGGTTGACAAATAGGCTGAGAAGCCCCATGGATTGAACCAACCGAGGAGTTCCATCGTCCTGTCTTGATATGATCTTGACCATCTCCAATAAAATACACCAACAGCAATAGATCCAATATGAAAACATGTTTTTTTCCCGTGTGAAATTTCATCATATTTTATTGGCATATGTCTATATATATATATATACATACAAAAAAATGTGTGTATATTACCACTTCAGGATGCGTAAATCATGTCAAGTTCTTCCGTTTTTGGGTCAAACCACCGAGCAATCCCACAATGAAAGGGCAGTTCCTGTTGCAGCTGAGTGTGTGGGCCCAACATCTGAAGGTATGCAGCATGTTTCACAAGCAAAATGTAAAGCTCGCCTGACAAAGGGATATACTTATACAGTATGTTTATTTTATTTAACCCCATGTTAGACCATGCTTGATCGATCTTATTTCCCCATGAATTATAAAGTTTGGAAACATAAACAAATATATTTATACATATATATATATACATATACATATGTTTATACATAGAGGATATTCAAGAAAAAATGAGGATATGCCATCAATACATTCCCCGAAAACATAGACGCCATGAGTCGGGCGCAAACCCGCAGGGCTGGCGGCGCTGGCGCTATGCGGTAGCTGTAGGGCACCAGGTGGGGTAGACCAGCGAATTCCGGCAGAAAAAACCTACAGTTATCGCCATTTATTCGTTATATTCCCATTTTTAGAATGTATAATCCCATCTATAACCAGTTATAACTGTTGTAACTGGTTATAAATGGGACAATTCGTGAGGGGACTGCAATTCCAGACACATCACGAAGATGTCCAAGACCTGTTCTGGAGATATGGGTTCTACTGTCAATGTGAAAAGGTGGTAAAAAAAGGACTATACCATCCCTACAAGAACAACCGCTGCAGTGCCTGTGTATGGGTGCTCAGTGCTGATGTGGATGCCATGCTTCAGACCAAGATGAAGCAGGGTGGCTGGGAGCTGGAGCTGAAGGACGCGGTGGACAATGGCAAGCAGTTGGAGCCACCACACTGGTTGGTCAGGGTAGCAGCCAGGGAAACTGTCACTTGCCTGCATCACTTGCCTTGTAGGACTCCAAAACTACTTTTTACATACTGTAGAACTTCTTCCAGTTATTTCCCGGTGAAATCCATCAGCGCGAACCTCGCCCTCACGCGCAAGTCAATTGGTCGACCTTCCCCGCCACAAAGGCCTGGAAGTTTCGCACCGTTTGCGAAGGCCATTTGATCCTTGACAGGCTGCTCCAGGAATGGAAGAATGTATAGTCAAGCGCTTCATCATCAAAGGACGGAGTGATTTGGTGGCATCCGGTCGCTCAAAACATATTCCGTCCAACCCGGACGTTTGCCCACACTCACAAGTATCATGATCATGATCATGATCATCATCATCATCATCGTCATCATCATCATCATCATCATCATCATCATCATCACCATCACCTTCATCATTATCATCATCATCATCATCATCATCATTACCACCATCATCATCATCATCATCACCATTATCATTATCATCATTATCAGCAGCAGCAATAATAACACCATGGCAACATATTACAGCATCACATCATCCACATCATAAACTTCTTCATTATCAGCAACAACATTATCACACCATCATCACATTATCACCACATCATCCATCATCCATCATCATTATCATCGTCATCATCATCATCATCAGCAGCAGCAGCAGCATTAACAACCACAATAACATCATCACATCATCGCCATCACCACATTCATCATCATGAACACCACCACCACCACCACCACCACCACCACCACCAACAACAACAACAACAACATTTCACCATCATCACATCATCACCATCATCATCATCAGCAGCAACAACAACAACAACAACATCATCACATCATCATCATCATCATCATCATCATCATCATCATCATCATCATCATCATCACCATCACCTTTATCATTATCATCATCATCATCATCATCATCATCATCGTCATTGTCATCATCGTTGTTATCGTCATCGTCATCAATGCCAGGACATCTGACAAATATGTCGATTGGGGTAATAAATTCAAATCATCTTCGTCAGGAATCCTAAATCCACTGCCTACTCTTACAAATATGTTGAACGGGGTAACAAGATCAACTTATCTTTGTAAGGGGCCAAAAATCGACCACCCCCTCTGACAAATATGTTGAACGGGGTAATAACATCAACGTATCTCCATGAGAGATCAAAAACCCACCACCGCTTCGACAATTCTGGCGCGGGCAAGCGCCATGCTTGCAGCGAGCAAATTTGGTTCGTTTTTGGTGTGGGACATTATCATCTCTAGGATCATCGCCTCGGTTTGATCTTAGGCTGCACTATCCAATGGCACGGTGGGTAGGGGCATCAGCTACCAGGTATCACTCAATCCTATTTTGGGGGCGGTCGGGAATTCGCCATATGTTTCAATGGGTTTTTCAACCACCGACTGTCGAAAATCATTGGGGCCAGTGATTCATGGCTGCCATGTTTTCATCCCTATCAGCAGGGATCAGGGTCTTATTGATGGCATGGCATCAATGAATCCAACCTTTTTTACCACCCAATGTGACCCGCTGTTGGCAGTAATCAAATTTTCTGGTTTGTTCCTACTTGGATCCCAGCTTGGAAGTGATCATAATTCATGTATCATTTTGATGTCCTAATGCGTTATGATTCTGATCATGCTATTCTCCCTGTGTCAACGGATTCCCCATGATGAATGAAAAACCAAACCTGAGGCAATCCTAAATGTATAAACCTGGATGGGTTGTATCCATTCACATCGATGTTTTTGTTTCGGATTTTGTTTGATGTGGATTTACCACCACTGATCGCCACTAAAAAATACATTATCTTGGCAGGGATCAACAAACTGACACGACAATATGTGGATATATAATGATATATATATATATATAATGATATATATATATATATATTTATACTGGTATTTGTTTTAAATTATATATACATATAATTAGTTTATTTAAGATATTGTAAGCCCCATGGTGATTTAGTTCCTGCCCTCGCACAGATGCCAAAACACACATCAGTGCCCAGCGTGTGTGCGCAGGTAGTTGCAGCGATGCTGCACCGTCCAAACGTTAGCCTGGTGTTGGGAGCCCCGGTGATTCTGGTTCAAAACCCTGGTTGGTTGATGATTATAGGGGATTATACTACCCAATATATTGGGGATTATAACAATCCAAGAGGGGAATCCCTATAAACCAACCAGTATAATGGAATAACAGCGGGGTTTTGAACACTGCTCAAATGGTTATTAGCAGACTGTGCCCTGGTCAGAAAATTGGCAACTTGCCCAATCAATAATGGTTTGGATGACCACACCCCACCACATTTCGAACATGTCACAGATATCACAAGGTTTTCAGGGCAATCATCCGAGGGATTCGGTCGGTGATTTGGGATGGTGATTGATTGCAGGACTCTGTTGACCCATGGATCCCAACAAAGGATTGATTTTGAACGGAGCAGGGGCTGGATGACCCTGGCGAAAATTTCATGGCGGTGTTGCCACAGTACCAAATCATGTTCAAACTAATCTATACTAATCTGATATCTGCCATTCTTTACCATTTTTTCGAAAGAACATCTATCTAGTCCAAAAAATGGCGAACCGACCATGCAATCGACGTGAATTATACCGGTAGGGACCTCACTACTGTAGATCTCACTAGCAGACAAAGTGTTTTTTATTCAGAAGGGGTACTCATGGGGTGTGGGCTTTTGTAAACTGTAGAAATGTGTGTGTTTTTTAGCTTTGGCAATATTGGCATGGAACCTTACTAACACAAATGTCATATGCCTCTTGTTATCTGGCAAATAGCTCCTGTCATCTGGCAAATCTCTACAAATGCACACGAAAACCCCCAAAAAATGACCCCAAAGCAGATGAATGTTTTTTTAATGGAGATTTGCCAGATAACAGGAGGTATTTGCTAGATGACAGGAGGCTTTTGTAGATGAGGCTCCTTGCCAACAGTGCCAATGCACTACTGTTTGACATAGGATGGAAATGATTATAGAGAAATAAAGCTTTTTGCAGAAACTTTTTCATTAGAAATTATAATATTTCGAAGTGTTGCAGCATTCCTTTTGAGAAATATATGCCCTTTTCAAGATGGCTGCTTCAATTGGAAATTGCATTCATCTTTGAAGTTTTTTTGGGAAAAAACTTCTTCATTACAAAGCACAATACCCCTTGAAGTGTTGCAGCATTCCTTTTGATAACTAGTTTTCATTACAAATTATAATATCCCTCGAAGTATTGCAGCATTACGTTTGAGACCCACATGCCTTTTTCCAAGATGCCTTTTTAAGTGGATCAATTGAAACATACATGTTTTTTCAAGATGCTTGCTTTAATTCTGAAATGCATTATTGTTTGAAATAAGATACACTTCCTTTTCAGGAAACGTATATAATCTGATTTGAATGAGTTTCTTCATAACAATCCAGATTGTTCCTTGAAGTCTTGCAGCAATCCTTTTAAAATAAATGTATGCCTTTTTCAAGAGGATTGATTCAATAGGGAACTGTAGTATTTTTTGCAAAACATATATTTTGATTTAGAGGTGCCAGTTTCAATACCAAAGTACAGCATAGTTTTGTTTGAGTTTTTAGTTATATCAAAATGCAAGATTACTTCAAGTATTTGTTACATGCACCCCTTGGGGGGTATGTAATTTATATAAATGAGAAATGACATGAATGAAGGATGAAGGTGAAGACAACAACCTATATCAAATGAAAGATCTCTTTGATTTTTTGGATAAAATATAAGTTTATTTGTAATTTCTGCTTAAACCTCATTTTCCAGCAAAATTCTCAGGAAAAATAAGGCACACGATACAAGATTCCCTGGCAATGCTATTTTAATTTTATATGTAAAAGACTTTATACCTTAAAGTCGCACCACTTGATGTCATTTTTTCCTCAGAGTTTGTGGAAAGAGTTCCATGAGATTCTACTTCAATCCAAGAGTTCCATGAAATATTTGTAGTAGGTAAGCTTATCTGTTTTATTTCATTTCATTTTTTGAAAGGTTAATGCCAATTCTATGTTTCTTTATATGTTGTATTAAGACATTGTTCATTTATTCTTTTTGTGGCAACCTAATTCCATATATTCTAGACAACCTTGGGAGGTTTTAAGATCTACATTTACTTGTTTTTTAAATATGTATGACACCTTAAGATCTATTCAAAATCTGTGTCATTGGCGCCCCCTTTTGGAATAACAATAGATCTCATCCACAATGCCAATCAAAAAATCAATGCAGATATCAGTAATAGAGCCAAGTTTGCACTAGCTTATATATATATATATATATTGCTCTCTTCACATCAAGCAGTGCCTGCACATTCTCATCATTTCAATGACATGTTCTCTGCAAAGGCCAAAACATCGCAAAATCACAATTTTCAAAACCCCACCCCCCCAAACCAACAACCGCTCTCCAGATATTTTTCCGGCATTGGGAACTGACCCCTTTCCACTACTATCATGGGGATGGAAATATCATAGTTCTCGTTCGCGGTTAATTTGCATTGCAAACACGTGTTATATTAATTATGTTGTTTCTGACGAGGGCTATGTGTATCGAATAATTATTTTTTTGTGCTGCCATTAGTTCACATAAAAAAACAACAACAGGTATGTTTACTAATGTGATAGTAAATTTACTAATAGTTAATTTAAACACTGTACTACATGTTCTACCCATGTCTGTGATTGATTTCATTAAAGTGATTTAAACATAAATGTGATCAGTATAGCAGTTGTGTCATTACTCTAATCATAATTACTCGTACTCGTCCTCAACATGGAAACATTTAGTAATATAGTTGGTTATTCACTTGATATTTGTTTTCCTGCTCATGATTACATAGGCTTGTTCTGACTTTATGACCATATGTTGCCATATATTAATTGTATTTATCATCAACCAAGTTATACTAATGGATTGCCATGGTTAGTGTTTGCAATGATGGTAATATATTTATCTATGAGTAATGATATTGTATTATGGTATCATGATATTGCACAAATCATAAAGACATGTACTATAATTACTAATAGATTATTAGCATTCATATTATCATTCATATTCCTAATCCATAGGGGATCATAGATTTTTGTCATTACTAATCCATGTCAAACGACAACTGATCGCTATCCACTGAGGCTCGGAGAGATTGCCTCGGAAATTGCAGGACTCCGTCAGGCGGGGGCGGGCGGCCAGCACTTCCAGCAGCTAGCAATTGGACAAATCGTATCAATGCCCCGCAATGGTAGTTTAGTATGTTTAGTTGGCAGTGAATACCACTGCATTAGTGATCATTCGTGTATAATTAGTAAGATACAGTAAGTAAGTATAAGTATTATAAGTATGATGAATGATACTTATACTTATACATTCATTAATTATCATTCATCATTATACATGATTCATGAATTATCATTAATAACATGAATGTAGTTCTCATTTTAGCGATAGCAAAAACCACCACAACCTGGGTAAACCAACAGGTCAGCCCCAAAAAAGAAGCGGTGCACCCAGCGGAAAATGTCCACTTAACGCGGGTTTTAAGCATAGACACATTGTAACAGCACCTCGAGGAAACCAGGCGCGTGTTTTTGTATGATGTCATGTTTTTTCTAAGTGTTGAATATTCTGAAAAAGGATTTCCCAAGGAATTTCAGTTCCACAACCTTTCTAGCATCTTCCTTCCTTCGCCCATGGTCTTCGCCTCCTTTACGTTTTAACGACAAGATACGGAGCAAAGTGTTCCGAGAGCGCTGTATGGTTCATTAGACCTGAAGTGCATGTGCAAGTTAACAACAATGGTCATGAATGGCATACCCGCCCCATGACGCAGCGTAAGACATCTCTGACGTAGCATCAAGTGCATGTTCAAGTTAACGTGAATGTTACTGACACACCCCACCTGAACCTCAAGATGCACTTTCTTCATGCACTTTCTTCATTTCAAGCCCAGACATGCTATTATGTTCTGGTGCTTGTTCCAGGCCCGGTTTCATCCCTATCACATCGATCTGGCCAGAGAACACGTGATACCCAGCGATGCCCAGACAGCAGTGGTAATTCAGGCTGACCCCACATTGGAGAATCCTAGTCTCCACAGCGGTTGATCGACGTTGGGCTATGCCATCAATTCATGGCATGCAAGGTGGTGCCCCCAAGTACAAGTTGGTTTATAACCCCATCAACTATCATCAACGAATTATATACCATAAACCCTGGCTACATTGCTTAGACACCACCTTCGCACACCACCTTGTAGCCGTGGCTAAATCATTTCCCAAATGATCCTCTGGGTATCCAAGTGGAACGATCCCCCTCACTGTTTGGAAGCGTCAGAGGTGGCCACTGGTGCGCGCCGGAAGCCGAAAAAAAGGGCGGCTTTGCCGCCGCCGCCGGAGGCTGGGGATGGCGTGAAGGGAAGGGGGATCTAGTGGTGTTTTAGCCATCTATTGATATCTATCCAGCCACATTGGCGATTTCAGGATCAAACGCTTACGGACTTCAACCAGAAATGCATGGGATTACGGGATTACCATGGATTACCATGGATTACCATGAATTACCACATCCACTACATGGTATTTGTTTGTTGCCATCTACATTTACTACAACAACGTTTGGATGGCAGTTGATACTATCGCGGCGAGGGTATAAATCTTGGATGCTGTGGGATGGTCGAAGATATGGCCAGTAAGCCACAAATTGACATGTGACTTGCTGATCTCCAGTAGCCGCAGTAGCCTGAACTTTTTTGGGTTCATAAGCCTCAAAAGTCATTCATTTCTAGGCTTTTCTCTTCCCATTGAAGCAGCCAGTGTGTTTTCACGCTTCAGCAAGTTGGATGAAGAGGCCAAGTAGACGATTGTGACTGTAAGAATGGACGGTTTGAGGAAAACATATTTGGATAAAGAAATGAAAGATGGAGATTCATAGGCTCAAAGAATCATGGTCGGTAAGAAAATCATTCAGAAATGCAGCAGCAACTCTTAGTTCCACTGAACAGCCTGTATCCTTTGATACAACTACATGATTACAAACCGCATACCCGCTCGGATGAACTTTGAAAGAGGGCAATGTAGTAAACCCCCTGTAAATCCTAAAATCATTAACAACATTGCAACATTATGCTTGCGTCTTGCACTATCTATGGTAATCTAACCTGTCACTGGAATGTCCATGTCTTTTAGACATTCGATTGGATCAACAAAGGGCATTCTGAAGGCTGTAGCAAATGATATGGATGTCATGCACCCATGAAAATCGATTTTATGTCCTAAATTCGTATACCCCAGAGTTGATTCGATGGAATACTTCAGAAAATCATGGAAAGTCTATATGCTTTGGGAAAAAAAAACAACCAGTTGCCTGTGCCTGTCTTGCTTAAACCATCCACCAACCGGAGGGTCTGCCAGCTCACCAGCTCTGGGCCCCGCTGGACACGAATAGATAGAACTATGAGATAGAATGTCAGATAAAATGCAAGACAAAATATCAGATAGAATGTCAGAATATGTCGGATAAAATGCCAGATAATATGTGAGATAGAATGCTGGATAAAGTACCAGATAGAATGTCAGATCAAATGTCGGATATTATGCCAGACCAAATGCCAGCAAGAATGCCATACATCAAATGTCAGATCGAAAGCCACAATGTGAGATCAACTGTATGTCAGAACATATGTCAGGAATAATGTCAGAATAATGCAGAATATATGTCAGATATTGTCAGAATATCTGCCACGGTGGAGATCACTCGAAGAACAGAATTTTATTGGCAATATCACCAGTTGTTGGATTAGACCAACTTAGCAATGTTCGACCATTTAAAGCCGCATTGAACCCATATGAAACCATGAAAATCAATGAACATTGATTACAAGATATTAAAAGAATAACATCTACCGTTCATTGATACTGGTTGGTGGTTTGGAACATGGCTTTTATTTTTCCATTCAGTTGGGAATTTAATCATCCCAACTGACTTTCACTCCATCATTTTTCAGAGGACTTGGTGGCTCAACCACCAACCAGCCATTATTAATCAATGATTAACCATCATTAACCACCATTAACCACTATTGCCCTCCAGTAAATTAACATAGACCCTGGCAGTCATCGGGGTTGGAAGAGTGGTTTCCACTAAAAATTGGTCGTTTTCAGGGTCCAACTGTTTATTTCCCATAGGGTAACCATGGGAGTTTTGTTGCCGTCGCCCTTGAGACGGCATGTTCGACGGTGGTGACTTCCTCGCACTGGACCACCTTCGCCATGTGCTCCCTCATCACTCGAGCCAGGTTCGAAGGCGACTCTTCAGGCACCTGGGCTCTGTTGTGGTGCACTCCCAAGCCCTATCCACCGACTGTGGCGACTGTCATCCGTGAGAGTATGGACAAAGCCATGTCCCCGCAGTCCGGTTTCGAAAAAGCTCTGACGCTGCTGCATGACTGGTGTTGGGCGAGAAATCTGATCTCTTGGAGGAAGAGCATCGCATCACACTTCGGTCTATGAAGGCAGCTGTCTTAGACTTTAGCCTCCTGATTCGTGCTGGGGTGTGGTCCAAGCAGAACCATTGTGAGGATCCCCAGGTGTCGTTTCAGTTGGAAGTTTAGTGAAAGTTCACCATGAACAGAGTGACTTCCCCCTTTTTTTTTGAATGGCGTCGTCAGTGCTCAATTGATTTGCCAGGCCAAAAACACCGCGTCTCCGAGAGCGATTAAAGCAGAGGCAACGGAGGGAGGCTCCGGGTGTTGCGGATAGACAGCTGTTGATCACGGGAATTGGCATGACATACACCATGAAAAAATATAAACAACACGGGGAAAGAGAAAGCAACATATTTTTACTATACCTATTTGAGATTCGATGTATGATATGTCATCGATATTAGTGTAGTTCGAAATCAAATTCCTAACAAAAATACAAGGTGTATCCTAAATACATTATAATACATTAGTATATCTAAAAGGACTATGTTGTTATCCTCTTCCAAGAGGTGAATGGGTCGCGCAGACGTAGAAAAAATGATGCCTTTTGCTAGCTGTTTCAATGGGCACCTGAAAAAAAGGATGAAATGTGGAAAACTCACTATTGTTTTATCATTTTCCGGACCGGAAACCATAGGTTTTCCATATAATTATAGTTTTTAGGGAAAATCATCTACACATGGGTAATTTTCCATGTCGATGCTGAGTTACCCGACAGTATATTTGAATATCCTGCTGGATGTTCAGAAAATTACCTCCAAATTAGACACACTTCTCTTATGGTCTGTTTTTATAAATTGAGAACGATACCTATGATGATATTTTACATAATTCAACCATACCAATGATGATAAAATTGAGAACCTGAGGCCTAAGAATGAGAAGAAATGCAATCGCGACGCACCACAATGACGTTATCCTTAAGCTTCCTATGTTCTTCTGCGTAATGTCCATGTCCAGCCTCTCCAACTTCCAACGAAAAGACCCGGCAGGGAAAAGCATGGCCTCACCTTCCATCGTCGCATCGTCCCCACAGGTGGCCGAACCCACGCACCTGATTTTCTTGCAGAAGGTTCGGACCTTGACAGGGGTACAAACGGACGTGCATCCCAGTATACACAAGTGGCTATGGATCAATACCTATACATACCATTTTTAGGGGGATGAACATCCATTTACCAGCTATTTTGATGTTCACCAGGGGGATAGGGTTTTGACCCATCCCCAAGTCACTTAAATTGTAATTTAACATGTCATAATGTAATATAATATATAATTAGGACATGGTATCTCCCGGCCATAGACGAGATATCCCAGGATATCAACCGTTTACGAAGTGGGATTCACCCCCAGAAACATCCAGTTGTTGAGTCAGTCGTGATGGGCTTGGTCCATGGACATCCTTTCTCCATTTCTTCATAGAAAGGCACCGAACATGGATAACTGGTTGGTGGTTTGGAACATGAATTTTATGACTTGTCATATATTGGGAATGATAATCCCAACTGACTTTCATATTTTTCAGAGGGGTTGGTATACCACCAACCAGATAACCAATACCAAACCAAACCTAAATTATAGTTTCATCAAAACTGGGTATGCGAGTTCATAGGTTGAATATTTAAATATCTTCAGCTTCGATACAGGGGTGCCCCAAAAAACGGGAAGTCAAAACATGGCGGGGTTCATTTTGGGAGCCACCTACTGATGGGAGAATGATATAGAATGATGTCAGGGTGATGGGACCCTTCAACTGATTAATCATATTAATCCTATTAATCATCCATACATGGTGTGTGAATAAGCCATAACTGCTGCGTAGCATAGCAGAAGCCATCTGCTCCTTAGATCTTTGCTGTTGGATGCCATCTGTTGTTAAGTTCGTGCCATGTTTTTAGGATGGTTGAACCATGGTAAGCCCCCAGTGTTTGGCAAAACATGGTTTACTGGTTGGTGGTGACTGGAACATGGCTTTTATTTTTCCATTCAGTTGGGAATGTCATAATCCCAACTGACGAACTCATATTTTTCGGAGGGGTAGGTATACCACCAACCAGCCATCAAATTAATCTATGATTAACCATCATTAACCACCATTAACCACTATTAACCACTACTAATCACCATTTTCCTATGGTTTTCCTATGGTTTTCGGAGGGTTTGAAACCACCAGCCAGTTCATTACCTATGAAATCCATCACTAGGCATTGGCCGGGTTCGCCTCTCGCAGTGCAGGCCGTGGGTAAAGAAACTGGCAGGTTTGATAAGAGTTTAGTGGTAAAGGGGGAGGTAAAATCCACTAATTAGTCTGGGTAAATTATAACGACCTCACTGCGACCTCACTGGGAATCATGGTTAGTATTGGAAATCATCCCCAAATGGCCTTATTTCAGGTTAGTGAATTATTATAATTTACCCAGATTAGTTTATTGGGATGTATTGTGATAATTGGGGTTTTAAACTATTTAAAACCCACTATAGTTTATGGGGAAGATAATGAGATATGGGGAACTAGTGATGAACTTTGGCATTTAATTCGTTTTTAATCAGCCGGTCTATGGAGTCTATGGATATATGTGGGATCTAATGAGGATATAATATGATATATTCATCCAAGGAGGAACAATGCTGATAATATACTTGGATATTCCTATAATGGTATATAATGTGAACAAGGGGAAGACAATGGGAACGTCGTGGGACTAGAATGGGGATATCGATGGAATCCACATGGTTTACCAGCGCAACCACATGTTACATAATAAGTCATGGTAAAATCCTATTTTATGACACTATCTTAAGTGTATTTAAATCAACTGTAACAACATTGTTTGGTGGTCAAGTCATTCCCTGGTGAAACCGTGCACCGTGACTGAAAATTGATGTTCAAATCACATGCGGTGAAAAAATCCATGAAAATCATCCCATTAAATGAACAATGTGTCACATTCAATGAATAAGAATGGGATAGTGAATGTTAATGAATCCATTAGTTATTCGATTTCATATTCCCACGACCATCTGGTTGGTGGTTTGGAACATTTTTAATTTTTCCATATATTGGGAATAATCCTACCCAACTAACTAATATTTTTTCAGAGGGGTTGAAACCACCAACCAGCCATCAAATTTCAATGAAATGTCGACATCAAACACCACAAAGGGAGAACCTGGAGGACGTGTCGGCATCCCTCAGGTCGTCTCGAAGACATGTCGCCCATCTCCTTGTGGCCAGAGACGAGTGTGGCGACGAACGTGGATCTTCGACAGGTGGGGTCAAGGCGGAGATTTCCCATTTTTCGAAATGGGACATGAATGGGACTGTAATGGGATTTTAATGGAATCTTAATGGGTTTTATGTGATTTGAAAAAGATCTTACTGGAATTCGTATTGGAATCTTAATGGGATCTGAATGGAATCATAGATGTTGACAAGTTGTTTGAACGCTTCAGCATCAGTATTTTGTTGGTTAAATATGTTATTCATGTTGCATTGTATGAAAACGTTATGTCCCCATTCTTCTTGATATTGTTGGTGGTTCAACACCAGAATAATGTCGGTGGCTCAGTCATGGTGGGTTTGTACTTATTGCCCCACCAGCCAAGGTACTGTTGAATGAGGTTGTTACTGTTATCGGCATTTCATGTGATTCATGTGAAAAGGATGTGATTTTCATTGATTTTCCCAGTTGGGTATGCCTGAAAATTGGGGATTCACCCCCAAAATAATTATTTTTTGAATTGAATGGGAACATGATGATAAACAATTGGATGGGCTGGAGTAGCCATGCTTGAAGACAACTTCAAAATAGTTGCGCTATGCGCAGCAAATGGGGACACTGACGTGTGTCAAAACATGGATTGTTGATATCCCTATATGGAAGTTGGGTCTTATGCCAATTGCCACTACATGTTACTGCAATTGACCCATATTGACCTCCAAGCTCAAATTGGTTGTTGCAAACTCGACAACAGCCAAATTTGTACTAATGTTATGTTGGTAACTCATGTTTTAACAACCTGTTTAGTGAGTCTAGTGGTTGTTAACTACCAGTGTTTTCTGCTACTGATGTCCTGCATTACTGTTGTCTTTGTCTCTGTATTATTGAGTGGTTTACTGATTACTGTACGTATCTTTACATCATTCAAGAAGGGCCCTACTTTGCTGTGACTGGCCCAGAGAGTTGCAAGTGACGCCCCCGCCGTTCCATCAAATTACTATAAATGATGGCGGGGTACTTGTTTATTTTCTTTGGACGCATGTATTTAGTTGACTGTTACAATATGGGTATGGATCAATACCTATTAATACCATTTTTAGAGGGATGAACATCCATTTACCAGCTATTTTGATGTTCACCAGGGGTACAAGGTTTTGACACACTGCCATATATCAGTATAGGGATGAATTCATTTTATCAATATATGAAATATACCAATGTCATAGACAGCAGTAATTCAATGTGTGGCACTTCGACAGCATACCTTGGGTACGGAGCAGCTGTCGAACCCCAGGTGCTTAGCCCGAAGCAGAGTTTTCGCAACGACGAAAGGCAAGGTAAGGGACTTCTCGAATAGTCCGAGAAGGTCCCGAACGATGAACCATGGGAGCTAAGCGGTTGGGGCCCATCAACCACGATATCCCAAATTCGAAACCATTTTTCGAATCCATTTGCTTACCATGGCCCATCCGAGTTGTGTTGTTTTGGGGGGAAAGATGCCAAAATTTATTTTGATCGAAGATTGGGTTACTGTGACGTATTTTTATAATACAAGTTACCCTCTGGTTATGACTAACATAGCCATGGGAAATGGCCCTAATCGAAATAGATGGTTTACCTATTAAAAAAGGTGATTTTCTATAGCTACGTTAAACAACCAGATACCCATATGCTCCATGTATGGAATATTTACCAACATTTACCCCATAAATGACCCAGTTTTGTAGGTAAATATACCAGCACCATGGAGCATATGGGATATGGTATATCCCATTAAATCCCATTAAATCCCATTAAACCACCATTTTCCTATGGTTTTCATATGGTTATCAGATTGTCGCCCTTAGACTTGGAGATCCACAGGTTCCGCCACATTTTCCGAGATCAGGTGGCCCTCCTTCGCCACCGAGCTCTGGTCCCCGCCCGCCGGCGGCGAGACCGGCGAGACCGGCTACCCGCCGCAGCGCTGGGAGGAGAGGGCGGAGAGCTGGCGGCGGATGCTGCGGGAGGCGAGGACGGATGGAGGGGGAAGGGGTTTTAAGGATTAAAGATATTGGAAAATGGGGATTATTTTTTTTTTTCATTATGAACCATAGTAAAGTTATGTAAAGTTCATTCATGTTCATTATGTGTTTAATAGATTCAAATAGACATCACATATCACATATCTAATTATTTGATATTACTATATGGGGATTTATTTGATTTACTATGGTTAATCCCCATGATTACCCCCATTATTAACCATGGTAAAGGTCATTATTTGAATGGACACAATCTAACGTATTTTATATTGTGTGTGAACATTTGGAGGTCCAATATTTTGTTGTATAATGTTATGTTAATATAATATAATATGATATGTGATATGATATAATACAATATAATACAATATAATTCTATGATATTATATGTATGTGTGTGTTTTTTTCCGTAGGGGAAGAGATTATGAGGATCCTTTCTTGATAAGCGTCTAGTGCTAGAGGTAACAAATCTCAGGAGCCACAGTGGGGAGTGAGAACTCATGGCTGGAAATGGCCACTAAAGAGGCAACCCAAGGGATTTTTGGGGATTCACTTGAGCAATTCTACTGGTTGTTGTTTTTGTTCGGTTTCCCTAGTATTTAAGATATCCATCCATAGATATCCCCATTAAAGCAGGTGGTATAATCAACTGCAATAAGCAATCAACCAAGGGTCTTTTTGATGGCTCATTTGCTCAATTTCTCAATGTTTATACCCATATGTGCAACCATATCCCCATCAGTTCGGATGGTTGATTGGGCTTGTGCTGGTTGCTTAGCACTTCCTGTTTGTTGGTTGACTCCCTATGTCTACTTCCTTCCAAAGATATTAATTGTACAGTAACTGCATTTGATTGAAAAGCCTCTACAGTATTTGATTGTTGGTTCAAGCAAATAAATTGCGTATGTTTATCCACAAGAAAGGCTCAGCGAATTAGATTACCCAATTTGTTCTCCCCGACCCAACAGTTAATATCCCATTATAACACCATTTTGATACCCCCTTATCCATCATGATCTCCCATGGCCATATATCATCATGTTAAATATACCATTAGAATCATATCATCATGATTAGTGAACGGTACATTATCCCCATATATCATGAATATTCTGTCTTAAAAAAATACATTACATTGATCTCATATCATAATGGTGTAATATTGTTTGGGGTGATATCTCAACATACATACATATATATATATATATATGTATTATGTTTATACATATCTGATATACCCCAAACAATTCCTAAGAAAGTTACTTGGATCCTTAGGTCTACAGTCTATACTGCATATTACGATACGTATGTATATATATAATATGATATACCCCCATTTATATGTGGTATAAATAGACACTAGATATATATATATATATATAATTAGTATATATATATATATTATACATACCACAATTTATGTATCCCATTTTGCTTGGAATTTTGCCGTGCCGGGCAGACCACCTCCCGCCACCACCAGCGATTTCGCCAAGCTCCGCGCGCGTGCGTCCAGAGGAGGCTGAGGCGTCGTATGAGGCTGACGGGGGGTAGGAGGGAGAGATGTTAGGACCATGATTTTGGGCGATTTCACAGTAAAAAATGTGGTTTTACTCATGAAACATATGGATTTATCATGATTTATCAATGAAATATAGATAATAGGGATTTGACCATGATTCGACGATGAAACTCTTGGGATTTGAATATATTTGATCAGTACAAGAGGTGGTATTAAGTGATTTGACGATGAACAAAAGTGATTTCACATGACTCAACCATGAACAATTCAGACTTAACCAAGATAAGAGGTAATGTAAGTGAGATATAGCGAGATATGAAAGCCAACCAGAACTCATGATTCTTATATTTTTTTTGGTGACGTTTGGGTAAATTATAATCCCTTAAAGCGCGGTTAAGTACCCAAACTTGGGCAATTGACCTTCACATGTTCAATTCTACTTGTAGATAGGATCAAAGGGGATGATTGGTTGGGGAAACCTTGGTAGAGGGTAGCTTAAAACAGTTTTTTGTTTGTTGATTGATGGGTTTTTGTTTATTACATACATTGACCAGCAGCAAATGTTTTTTGCAGTGTATCTAAGATTGAATTGATATAAGTATACAACCGACAAAATTAGTGTAATACTAATTTAGTCTTGCTTCGTCGTAGTCTTGCTCAGGGGTGTGCAAAACCTTCATTTCCTATCGGGGACGACCCGGTCTACCGATACCACTGTCACTGTCACGGGCATCAAACTCTTGGGAACGCAGTTAAATCCTCACTATCCATGGGAGACCCGCCGGGTACCGCCAAGCTCATATCCAAAAATAGACGAATTTTGTGTTGAAACCCATGGGTTTATGTCGGATGCCCTTGTTTTTTCGAAACATGTTGCCCAGTATCGGCCTGTGTAGGACAACTTCAGAGGTAGCTGCCTGTAAAGTATTGCACTGACATGGAACCTCAAACAATGACTGGTTGGTGGTTTGGAACAAGCTTTTTCCATATATTGGGAGTAATCATCCCAACTGACTAATTTTTGTTTTATTTTGAACGATTAATTTCTGGCGTAGGTCATAGTTGATTACAGTTGGCCTGGACTTGAAGAACTCTTGCAGACAAAGACCTTGCAGTTTGAGTTCAGTTTCTTGGATCAGTTAAAACTCAAATTGGCCAACCTCAAATTTTCAAAATTGGAAACGGTCCCTAGTTTTTATTATTTGGGAGGGGTTAATTAGGGGAAAGGGATATTATGAAATTGTGATTGTTATTATCAATAACATTACGGATTATTATTGAGATAACATATTGAACATTACATATGATTATGAACATTAGAATACCATTAATATTAAGATACCATTAATATTAAGATTACATTACCATTAATATTAAGATACCATATTGAACATCATTGAGATAACCATAATATGTCAATCTATGGCCGTATTCCCTTCTCTCATTCCAGCGCTCCTCAGGGCCTGCGGCGTCGTGCACTTGCTCGTGCTTGCCTCATGGGGAATTTGGGGGACTGATGGGACTATAGTGGGAATGCATACATGTTACATATATATATATATATCAGTATATATATTTAATTATATACATACATATTTATATACATAAGTATATATATAAGTACACATATATATATATTTAAGTATGTACATACATATTTATATACATAAGTATATATATAAGTACACATATATATATATATATATTTAAGTATGTACATACGTATTTATATACATAAGTATATATATATAAGTACACATATATATATATATTTAAGTATGTACATACGTATTTATATACATAAGTATATATATAAGTACACATATATATATATATTTAAGTATGTACATACGTATTTATATACATAAGTATATATATAAGTACACACACATATATATATATATTTAAGTATGTACATACGTATTTATATACATAAGTATATATATAAGTACATATATATATATATATATATTTAAGTATGTACATACGTATTTATATACATAAGTATATATATATATAAGTACACACATATATATATATTTAAGTATGTACATACGTATTTATATACATAAGTATATCTATAAGTACACATATATATATATATATATATTTAAGTATGTACATACGTATTTATATACATAAGTATATATATATATAAGTACACATATATATATATATTTAAGTATGTACATACGTATTTATATACATAAGTATATATATAAGTACATACATATATATATATATTTAAGTATGTACATACGTATTTATATACATAAGTATATATATAAGTACACATATATATATATATATTTAAGTATGTACATACGTATTTATATACATAAGTATATATAAAAGTACACATATATATATATTTAAGTATGTACATACGTATTTATATACATAAGTATATATATAAGTACACATATATATATATATTTAAGTATGTACATACGTATTTATATACATAAGTATATATATAAGTACACATATATATATATATATTTAAGTATGTACATACGTATTTATATACATAAGTATATATATAAGTACACATATATATATATATTTAAGTATACATACGTAAGTATATATATATATATAAGTACACATATATAGATATATTTAAGTATGTACATACGTATTATATACATAAGTATATATATAAGTACACAATATATATATATTTAAGTATGTACAGACGTATTTATATAATAAGTATATATATATATAAGTACACATATATATATATTTAGTATGTACATACGTATTTATATACATAAGTATATATATAAGTACACATATATATTATATAAGTATGTACATACGTATTTATCTACATAAGTATTATATAAGTACACATAATATATTATATTTAAGTATGTACCTACGTATTTACATATTATAGTATATATATATTACACATATATATCTTTAAGTAGGTACATACGTATTTATAACATAAGTATATATATATAAGTACATATATATATATATTTAAGTATGTACATACGTATTTATATACATAAGTATATATATAAGACAACAATATATATATATTTAAGTATGTACATACGTAGTTATATACACATTAGAGTATATAAGTACACATATATAATATATTTAAGTATGACACATACGATATATATATATACTATATATATTTAAGTATGTACATACGTATTATATGACACTAGAGTACATATATATATATATATATAATTCAAGTATGTAATACGTATTTATATACATAAGATATATATAAGTACACATTATAATATTATATTAAGTATAGTACATACGTATTTATATACATAAGTATATATATAAGTACACATATATATATTTAAGTATGTACATACGTATTTATATACATAAGTATATATATAAGTACACATATATATATATTTAAGTATGTACATACGTATTTATATACATAAGTATATATATATATCTATAAGTACACATATATATATATATATTTAAGTATGTACATACGTATTTATATACATAAGTATATATATAAGTACACATATATATATATTTAAGTATGTACATACGTATTTATATACATAAGTATATATATAAGTACATATATATATATATATATTTAAGTATGTACATACGTATTTATATACATAAGTATATATATAAGTACACATATATATATATTTAAGTATGTACATACGTATTTATATACATAAGTATATATAAAAGTACACATATATATATATATATTTAAGTATGTACATACGTATTTATATACATAAGTATATATATAAGTACACATATATATATATATTTAAGTATGTACATACGTATTTATATACATAAGTATATATATAAGTACATATATATATATATATTTAAGTATGTACATACGTATTTATATACATAAGTATATATATAAGTACACATATATATATATATATATTTAAGTATGTACATACGTATTTATATACATAAGTATATATATAAGTACACATATATGTATATATTTAAGTATGTACATACGTATTTATATACATAAGTATATATATAAGTACACATACTTATGTATATAAATACGTATGTACATATATATATTTAAGTATGTACATACGTATTTATATACATAAGTATATATATAAGTACACATATATATATATTTAAGTATGTACATACGTATTTATATACATAAGTATATATATAAGTACACACATATATATATTTAAGTATGTACATACGTATTTATATACATAAGTATATATATATAAGTACACATATATATATAAGTATGTACATACGTATTTATATACATAAGTATATATAAGTACACATATATATATATATTTAAGTATGTACATACGTATTTATATACATAAGTATATATATATAAGTACACATATATATATATATATTTAAGTATGTACATACGTATTTATATACATATGTATATATATAAAATATAAGTACACATATATATATATAAGTATATACATGCGTATTTATATACATAAGTATATATATATATATAAAAAAATATATAAGTACACGTATATATATTTAAGTATATACATACATATTTATATACATAAGTATATATATAGAAAACACACATATATATTTAAGTATATACATACGTATTTATATACATAAGTATATATATATATAAGTACATGTATATATATTTAAGTATATACATACGTATTTATATACATAAGTATATATATATATAAGTACACGTATATATATTTAAGTATATACATACGTATTTATATACATAAGTATATATATATAAGTACACGTATATATATTTAAGTATATACATACGTATTTACATAAGTATATATATATATATATGTATATATATATAAGTATATATATATATATATTTAAGTATGTACATATATATATATATATACAAGTATATACATATGTATCTATATTTAAGTGTATATATATATGCACATGGTATAGTAGGGTAGACAACCTATACATAAGGGTATATAATGTGAAATACTCTGGGAATATACATAGGATGGGACTCAAGTATAATGGTTATGTATTATACGTAGTAGGTATACAACCTAAACATTTTGGATATATATATATATCACCATGAATATATTCAGTATCCTAATAAATAGTGGGTACATAAAAACGAAACTATAAATTTGGATGCTGAATTATAGACATTTGGGGACCTTAGGGTGATGCATCTTTTGTGGTCACCTGAAACCACAAGATGATGAAACCACTTTGAATGATGCAGCCTGTCACTTGGCTGTAAAACGCAATTATTGCTGTCAGGAAGGGGGACAGACGGGAACATACAATATTCCCTGGGGCTGTTGATTGTTTCCTTTTCAGGCCTACCTTTCATCGTGAAACTGACCTGAGATCGGTTGCTCAAAATGCCCTGAGTGGCTCAGAGATGACAAAGATTCATCCCAGAAGTCTTACCTGTAAGCTGACATAAGCTGACCATGGTGGTTGGAAGGAGACAGCCTGGACGACAAGTTGGATTCTGTAGCTCCGGTTTTTGTTTTTTGTAGCAGATGTCCTGTCATATCCGTGCAGAGTTTCAGGAGAGAAAGCTCCCTTGCAGCGAGTTGGTGAAAAGAATCAATCGCTTCAATTAGGAATGGAACGATACATATCAATACCTATTACACATTATTACACCATATTTGGAGTTATGAACATCCATCAATCCCAGCTATCTTGATGTTCACCAGGGTAGCAGGATTTTAATCCATACCCAATAATTGAATCCTGTTCAGTTTGTTCTCCACTTCATTTGGTGCTCTCCACTTCTTCCCAGGGTCGACCAGGGTCGGACATCGGACTCTGAGTTTCTGTGACACTGTGCCAATGTTCTGCAGCGGGGAACAGCCCTGCGGTGGATCAAAGATTGGTTTGTCCAAAACGTGGATGATCCAACTTAATCTAAAAAGCGGTTTGCTGGGTGAACTGAGGGGTGAATGGCTTTGGTTCCAGTGGCTAGTGGGAAAACAGCTGGACATGGATTTCAAGCAGCAGAATCATGTATGTAATTATTTATATATACTATATATACGCCTTTTTGTAACACAAAAACAACATGTGTGTCAAGGATAACAAACATATTCAAATCATATAAACATCCAAAAACGACACTTGACCGAAAAAACCATCCCCCAAGCTTCACAGGATCATCTAATTTTGCTCTCGAAGGTTAAAACCTGAGACCGCCCAGTGGTAAGGAAGCATCCCCAATCGAAGGTTCGTTATATTGGATGGCATTGGATGGTTCATATATATATATACATATATGTAATTATATGTGTGTATATATATATATATATTGAAATCCCCATTTATCATCATTTTTCCAGTGTTTGCTTATACAGTTGGCGAATCCCATTTGTTGGTTTACAAGCTACTAGTATCTAATATATTCTGATATAATATGCCCATGCAAAACCATCTTTTTTGCGCCGTGGCAACACATGGCACCTTCCTTAGGTACCAAAAAGCGAGCGAAGCCTGCGAAGACAGGAGGAGTCTTTTGAAGGAGACGAGGAACGTACAGTTCAAGGTGCCACGATGGGTTTCAAGGGCCCCTGGGCCCCTGGGATCGGGGAGATTCATGGAGATTCATGGAGATTCCTGGGATCGGAGCGTGATACAACCTTTGGAAAAAATCCACGGGTATGATGGAGAGTCAACCGTTTAAAACACAACGGGGTGAACTTGGGTGAAATACCTGAGGCAGCAAACTCTAAAATGGCATGTGTTTAGTGGAAAGTAACCTTCCAACCCCCCACTCATGGCAGGGTCATCATGTCACTTCGTGATAATGAATATCAATGAATATCATCCCTATGATTGATGCTTCTATCACAATGATTTCACCAAAGTTTGCTACATCCCATTTTTTAAACTATGTGTTCAGCATATCCCAGCAAAAAAACATGATTTGTTTGCCATTTTCCCACCTTGATCATCCGAAAGGTCATGATCTTCCCACCTGAAAAATCCCAGGCCAGCGCCGTTCCAGGTGTTGCCCAAGTATGGCATAGAAGCTACAGAGAAGGGGACCTCCATCATGGCAGCGTGCGCTTGGCAATTGGACATGGTCAATAGTGGTTAATAGTGGTTAATAATGGTTAATAATGGTTAATAATGGTTAATAATGGTTAATAATGGTTAATAGTGGTTAATGAGATACTCTGGTTGGTGGTTTGGAACATGGCTTTTATGACTTTCCATCCCAATTGACGAACTCCATCATTTTTCAGAGGGGTAGGTCAACCACCAACCAGGTAAAGATCTCCTACCTAAGAATGGTGATTTAACCATCACTGGTTGGTGGTTGAACCAATATTAACCAATATCAGATGTGAGATATGAATGGAATATGAACCAATACAACAGACAACATGGATCAACATGGTGGTTTAAATAATATGAACCAAATAACAAATGGTGGTGTAATTGATGGAATGTGACAAGTGTGAAAGCCAACCCAAATTGCGATTTTCACCAACAACAATAGCAAAGAAAGGATTCTTTCAGCAACAATTTTTATGGTGATTTTTCACTGGCATTGCCACGGTGATTTAACCATTAATGTGTGTGTGTGTGTCGATCAATCAAAATTTGGTCGATCTATCAATGGAGATAGCATATTTTTGTTTAGACTTCACTAAAAAACCCAAATATGATGTTTTTTTTTCAGGTATGTTTGCCATCCAATTTTTACATGACAGTGAAAACGCCCCGCCTAAACGTGGCAGGTCTAGCATTTCCAAAACCGGATGACTTCTTGCCAGTTTGAGCTAGGGTTTTTTGGGGATTAGCCACGTTGGTTGATCACTAGAGGTTCCCCCCTGAAAACCAACAATTAATTGGTAGATGATAATAAAACAATAATATAATATAATTTTTATATGGTAGATTATAATAAAGAGTAGACCAAACCGGACCAATATTTTTCCGAAAAGGACTGTTGGTTTCCAAGCCGCTTTGAAAAGGGAATAACAATTCTGGAAATGGCAGCAGAACATCACCAGCTGAATTATCGAGAAATGGATGAGTGTTCATTGCCAAGTTTGGTTAAGAGGTGGCGGGTTGTTACATGTTGTTGCCCTTCAGTAGATTTATATGGATATGGAAAACCCACCAGAAACAACCATGGATTTCGCATGTGGTTTTGATAATCAACCAGAGGCTCTAACCCAATCATTTTCCAATTCGATTCCACGTACTCTTCACAGTGTATTCCAACCTATCAAAATCCATGAGAATAATTATAATATACTTCCAATATCTTCCAATCATGTGATTATATCAATTGCAGTACGATCCTTTTTTATATTCACAGTATATAATTATTACCATCTGGTTATTTAACATAGCCATGGAACATCACTCCAGATGGTTTTCAATCAAAATGTTATCCCATCGTTTGGGCCATTTCCCATGGCTATGTTAGTCATAACCAGAGGGTCGAGTCAAATTCAGCGAATTCGATCCCTAGGTGGATTGGATCTGTGCAGCAAGGCATCAAAGACATTGAGGCGCCTGTGGTGGATGATGTCACTGAGAATGGTGCTTGAAGTTTCCTTCAATGTTTATTTGTATTTGTTTGTTCTGTGTTTGAAGTCACTTGAAGTGTATTTGTATGCGTTTCACGTTTAAAGTTGTTGTTTTTCATGCATTTTTTGCTGGTGAGACTATCCAGGTAATGCTGGTGAAATGTCCAGATATTGAATGGGCATGTTTTTGTTGGTGATCAAACAACTTTTAGGGCCTGTAAATGAACATTCGATTTACATCAATTTACCCTCCATGATGGATCTTGATGGCTGATATGATAATACTTTCCGAAATTCACTTCACTTCAATGCCTGAACCGTGATGAATGTGATGAATAACTTTTTGATGGTCAAGAAGAGTCAAGATTACAATCACTAGTCATGGCATTCGACATAAGCATCCCAGCTGTTTTCTCTTTGGATTCACATCGAGTTTCATCGGATTTTCCAGGCTTTTGATCGATTCAAATCAACAGGATTACTATCAACCAATCCATGGCATCCATGGTTTTTATTGAATCCAATTCTCAGGAACTAGGAACCATAGAATATCATCGATTCAAATGTCATCAAATTTCCGAAAAATAAATCCCTTGCTGGATTTTTTCATTAATTTTCCATGGATCCATCGATTTTCGGACTAATGTTTCGCATTTTCCATGGATTGTCCTTGCTTTTTTTGTCCATCGATGGACAGGAGAAGGTGGCTCTTTCCATGCACCTCTCTCGCGTGCTCTATATCTCAAAGCTGCCGCTGGTGAAATCCAAGGTACGGCGGTGCGACGAGGACGTTTTTGAGTCGCCAGCAAGATGATATGATGGGGAAGTTTATGGAAGTATAATCTTGATATATATAGATATATTACATTATTATTATGATTATTGTTTGTTTATTTTTATTCTTGTTAGTATGATTGTTATTGTTGTTATTATTGTGGTTTGGTTATTATTGTTATTATTGTGGTTTTGTTATCATTATTGTTTTTGTTATTGTTATTATTATTGTTAGTATTATTGTTATGTTATTGTTTTTTTTTTTGTGTGTGTGTTTAATATTTATTTGTTATTTGTTGTTATTTGTTATTATCATCATTGGTATTATTGTTATTTTTATTGTCTATTATTATGATAATTGTTATTATTATCAGTGTTATTATTATCATTATGACTATTATTATATATGTTATTATTATCATTATTATTATACTGACATATTATGATGGACTTATGAGATTCTAAGGGATTACAACGGATTATAATGGATTATGATGGGAATTCTGAAGGGAAATCTGATGAGAATGATGGGATCATGATATATATATATATATCGTTAGTGGAAGTAAGACGGGAAAATCATTAGGATATGTTACAGGATATGATATGTTGATTTAATGGTGATATAACCCCCCACAATAGGGATCATGCGGGTATACAACTACCAACCAGTCAATGGAGGTATAGTGGGGATATAGCCAACAACATTACTGGTTGGTGGTTTGGAACATCAATTTTATTTTTCCATACATTGGGAATATGATATTCCCAGCAGACTTTCATATTTTTAAGAGGGATTGAAACCACCAAACAGATTATATATTATTAATAGGTAAATCAGATTAAAAAAACAAAAAAACATCTATAAATGGACCATTTTCCGTGGCTATGTTAAATAACCATGCAGAGGGTAACATGATTTTTCTGGGTGTGCTTGAACATGTGGTATCTCCCTAACCCCACCGGTGAATCATGATTTTCCCTAACAGCCATGTCATCATGTCCGGGGCACCGAATAAATGGGGAATTTGTTGATATCCTAGCAGAAAAAGTTCATATTCAATATATTTCAATATGATTTACCGTCTGGTAAACTAACATATCTATGGAAAATCACATTTTTTCATGGGAAGACTCACTATAAATGGTGATTTTCCATAGTTATGTTCGTTTACCAGAGGGTTATCATATTCATATGTGAAATTATAGG